TAGGATTTACAGAGAATAACAAAGGCCAATTATTTACTTGGAGGAAACCTAGTTCGACACTTATGATATCCCGGAAAAGGATTGGGTTGACTCAACTGATAAGTGTAAAACAAACGCGCCATCAAAAAAAGGTAAAAGAATAACTATTTTGCATGCTGGCTCTAAAGATGGTTGGATTCCAAATGGACTTTCTCTGTCTGCGAAAAATATTAAAGATTCTTCTCTGGATTACCATGAAGACACCACCGCTGATTTATTTGAAAGTTGGTTTAAAAACAAACTAGTTCCAAACATTTCTCCTAATAGCGTCATTATAATGGACAATGTAAGTTATCACAGTAGACAGTTAACTAAAACCCTTTCCGCATGTGACACAAAAGCAACAATCCAAAACTACATGTATAATAACCACATTTATTTTCACGAAGATTATACCAAAAAGCAATTAATTGAGGTTCTACAAAGCTTGAACCGACCTACAAAAGGAATATGTCTGTGATAATTATGCAAACAATCTAGGGCATACAGTTTTAAGGCTTGCACCTTACCACTGTTAATAGTGTAGTGTATATTTAATCCCATTGAACATGTTTGGCACCAACTGAAATCTGCCATTCGTCGTAACAATGTTTTTCCCCGTGTTAACTCCAATGTCCTCAAACTTATAGAAATCGAAGCTTTTAACATCTCTCCACAAAGTTGGGCAAATTCTGTTAAACATATAGAAAAAGCAGAACAATCGTATATCCGTATTGTAAATAATATAGAACAAATAATAATTAGAACAGGCGATTATAGCAATAGTGATACTGATATGTTATGTGAATAATTTGAAGTAATTTAAGTAGGTAATAAAAATAATTTGTAATTTTATTTTAGATTTAAACATAAATACATAAATAAATAAATAAATATTGTTTAGTATCTTTCCTAACAAAACCCCAAATAATTAAATTCTAAGCAAAGTACGGACCTGTTCGGCCATATTTCATTCTTCCAGCTTGCCCTGGTCTTTCCTTAATTCGTATCAGTTAGTCACTTTCTTATATCTATGAACAGACCATATCTGCGATTTGCCAGCGACATTCGATTGCATAAGTGTCGGTTTAATTTTTTTAATTACATTTTCTTTAAAAATCCAATTGGCGTTTTATTTTTAGTCTAAACCGATTATCGTAAAGCCAGTTATGTAGAAAATTATTCGCGCCTCACATTGTCTCTTTTTAAACTAACGTGAAGTAGTATAGGGCGATGACTGGCGTGTTTCCTGCGGTAGATTTCGGTAGTTGGACTATTAATTCTCTTCCTATAGTGCTTTCACAGACAAATTTCTTGAGTTACTGAAGGCAATAAAACTACTTCTTAGAAAAGAGGTTGGCAATAAAAAATAAAAATAATAATAATTAAAAAGAAGATATAAAAAATATTACTTTATTTTTCAAAGAAACTTCCACGGGCTACCGTAATACTATTTACAAAATTTCTGCATTCCTCCTGCATTGGGTTTATAAATAAATCAAACTTGCTGACGTTTCGCCAATCATCCTATGACTCCTTTCGAGCTTAACTGAAACTGGCTCCCATTCTACTCCGTACCTGCTTATATATTCTTTGAGGAGGGCGGAGCTAAAACGGGGCATTAATATTGTTTCTGATGATCGATTCACATATCGCTGAAAAGTAAAGCCCTGAGTCGCGGTTATGATCGTTTGGTTTCGTATAGATTTCTATACATTCTTGAATTGCATGCAGGAATTTCAGTTTTTTTCAGGTTTCATGATTGTGTTCGCCAACAATTTTGCACAAGTGGTAAATCTAATTTCACGTTATACTTCTTAAGACCTTTTGATATGTGGTGTTTCAAACACAAGAAAGGAGCGCTGAATGTAAAGTGTTTTAATTCTGGGTTCAGTGACTCGGTCTGAGAGAGCTTTACGGCTCTGTAAACAAAAGAGTCGATAACCAATGATTTTTGTGCAGATGGTGATGTGATATTGCTCGCTGAGGTACGATATGTATGCAAAAAATTACTAAAATTCATAAAATGAAACTATTTATTTCTGTATATATATTTCCGTTAGGTCTGATTTTCTATTAATAAGAATAATTGAAGATTATTATTAGTTTTTATTTCATGATAGAGCGTACGTTAGAGTGTATAAAGTTTAAATCGCTAAGAAAATCTTGGCGGGATTCTCGACCATGAGGCCAAATAACAAAAGTATTCTCAACATAGAGTTTCAATCACTTTGGTTTTAAGTGGAAGGCGTTGACGGCTTTCTTCTCAAAAGCTTCCATAAATATATTCGCGCGTTTGTTCATAAATTTGATCCTTACGAGAAAAATATGTTTCGGACCAGCATTTTTCAATTAAGATAAGATGGTTTGGTTCCACATTTAATTGTTCAATGAAGTGAAACGGCAGCAAGGTCCATTTATCAACAACCGATGCAGAAGGAATCCGGAAGATCTGTTAATAGTGTTGTTTACACAACCTGCCTACGAAAATCATACTTTAAGTTTGGAGAGTAAATGCTTTAAATATTTTCACTTTAAGTTGCATGAATCTAATCATTCAAGGGGATTTGGTCAACTTTTGATACTCCAAGTGGTTGGCATGGTGTTTATTAGAGATAATCCATTTTTTAGAACCACTCTATACCTCACGCAATACTTATATTTTGTATAATTTTAAGGATAGGAGCAATGTGATGGTCAGATCACAACAATTTGTCAAATGTATTTCAACTTTAACCGTATTGCTGACATGTGTGACATTAACTTTGACTTACTGTACACTGTTGTTTCTAAATATACTGAAGAACGCCTACAGGGTAGTTTTTTTATTACTATGATTTTCATTTTTGGCCAGATAATAAATTACATTAGGCGTTTTGCCATTTGGTTTTATAGTTTTATTTTACATTATATCTGTAATTGGAGTATACCTATTGAAAATAAAGCATTATTATTATTATTATTATTATTATTATTATTATTATTATTATTATTATTATTATTATTATTAAAAATTATGAATTTCGAAATCGAGTGTACTTGTCTTTGGTGACTTGATAGGGCCCCGTTTATCCTCGTGCACACGTCGTTATACTAACTGTCCAACGAACATTTCAACTATTATTGCAACTTCAAATGTTGAATTTTGGTTAGTTTTGGTTAGTTTATTAATTAGAATTTTTTCACTTTTGGACAGCACAGTTTTACTAATCCGTCCGAATGCTATAGCATAGGTACATTTTAACCCATTGGAAATCCCTCCGTTCTAGAAAAATGCCCTGCGGATGCTCGGGATTCGCGATTGGCCCAAACTTTAAAAATGTGGATAGCATTTTGAAATCCATATATGTAAAACTTCTGGATTATATTTGGAATCCACGTGTGGCGTTCTTTTGAAGTCGATTATTATTCTTTTAAGAAATATTAAAGAACGAAATATGTAAATATGACATAATTAATCAGTACTTACCACAAGCGAATTGCAAGCTACAATAAATTGTTTGTAGAATTGTTTGGTTAGGGTGTTGAGGTTTAACCAAAACTATATGAAATTTAGTTTTTGCTAAGTAACGATTCTTCTTATTCTGTGCAGCATTACCATTACCATTATCCAATGTACATAAAAAATTACCTCTGATACATTGCGAATGAATTTTGTATCATTTTATATTATACCCGACAGTGGGTTATCCAAAAGATATCCGCTCCAGAAGGTGTAGAAAAATGATGATCCAATGAACATCCAGAGAATTTCTCGGGCCATATGGATAATGTATGGGTGTCATGTGCTATCTGGGATATAGAACACGACTAAGACCACAAAGATTTACATTTCATTAATGATTTATAACTCTCTCGCATTCAGAAACAGAGAATAGCAGCAGAAATGTCTTTAGACGAAACTTTCCGAGGAAAATTAAATACATTAAATAATAAAATTAAAGCAAAATTTAAAAACCCCAAATATAAGGACGCATTTCTATCATCCTATTATGTTCACAAATAATCATTTTAGCACCCTTCGTACCACAAGTAATGTAAATTTACGACTGCAGTTAGCACCCCTTTTTATTGCAGTCATTGGAAACCAAAAAATTCCCAAAAAAAAACGAAAATTTGGCGATGCCGATTTTATTTCTTTTTTTTAAAGAGATAAAAAAAATAAATCTCACTCTCTCATTGTCACTTTTTACAAAATAGCCTTGAGAGATTTACAGATTAAGTATGAAGTTTCGTTTCTGCGAAATCGTACCAAAAAGTATCATCAACGTAGCGTTTGCATAATTTTGGTTTTAGATGTAACGTGTCGAGAGTTTCTTTGTCAAAGGCTTCCGTAAATATACTCGCGAAGACTGACAAACATTTTGAAATTAGAAGATTTGTAAATAGTATTAGTATTAAAGAAAGAAAGAGAGAGAGAGAAGCCTATTGATCAGCAAGTTTGATTTATAAACAACCCACGCAGGAGGAACGTAGATGATTTGTAAACAGTATCAAAGTCAGTTTGTTGAAGTTGTTTTGACAAATAAATTTGTTTAGCTACCATTTCTGCTTTTTTTTATTTATAATGTTAGCCTCTAGTACACCAAAACCCAAAACCATTTTTTGTGATTTAGACAATGTAAAGTCATTTTGTCTCGAACATCGCTGTGTTCATAAAAAAAACTATTTACATGGCGCAGTTTTTTCACGGACCATATGAAAAAATAAAGTTGATGATGATTTCGCCGAAACAAAACGTCGTACGAGTCGCTTGTATTTTTTTATATCCCTTTAAATAAAACCAGAAAAAAATAATTTGCAGATTTCAGATTTGTTTGCCTATCTTTGGCGTATTAACCTCTAAATTTTGCAACATGATAGATATCTTTGTCACACTGTATAGTGCGTAGCACTAAGTAAAAAAACAAGAAAATTTTATAAATTAATATTTACCACAGCACACAAAGTATAAAACGAAAGACAAAATTATCGTGGAACAAACTATATTTGGCGACAAAAAACCATATTACAATTTCCGCATTGGTTTTCAAGAGTACGGGTGAGCTTTCAGCGGAGCGACATTTAAATTCAAAACGAGATTCTGGTCTTTTTTGAACAATCGCAAAGCGGAGCTGTCCATTCCAAAGACGTTCATGGTGACCGTGAATGATCTTTCCTCCCGCGCAAATCTTTCGGGTCTTCGGAAATCTTTCCGCGTGGGATTGTAGAATTGCCAGCAGGCGGTCGCCATCAAGTTTATTTCAGCCGGATTTTGGGGCACGAATTGTCGAAAATGATCTCCGATCCGAACTTCGGAACTCATCTCACCGTATTGAGATTTTGTTCCTATTTCTCGATTTCTAGGCGAATGTCTTATGATATCCTGAATATTTCTAGGGTAAGACTCGCGCTGACGATGTCGGGGATAAAACGCTTCAGATTTTGTACTTCCGAAAGTAATTCTAAAGGGGCGTGGATCGTTGTGGCGTTCAAATCTCTTCGGCTGTGAGGCGACGAGTTGTTCTGCCGTTCGATTAAGATTGGCAGTATCCGTTTCTTTTGGAATCCTTCGATTTCTGGCAGTTGCAACGGCGCCGATGGTTACCTGCAACAAAAAATATGTAAACCATATGCTCTAATATAGAGGACGCGATATTATTAATCCTTCCTAGAGCAACACGTGGTATAGGTCAGTACACGAGACATGGTCATAACTTAATGAACATAACATAATAACATAATAAATCGAGCAATAAACCAAGAAAAAGTTGATTTATCAGCGTTTATCGGTGCAGGGAGTTAATTTTATATGTGGGAAATCAAAAATATATATTTTTTAAAAGAAACACCCCGTATATTAAGACATTAATAGATTTCCTTGTATCACCCATTTTTGCGTTAAAAATGCCCCGTGTTTAGTATTTTTGACGCCGTTTTGTACTAACACCGACTCTGTTTCATCTCCTCTTTTGTTATGGGGTTTTATACACCTGGTCTTTAACATATCCGCACATAAAATAGTCCAACTTCAAAAGTAACATTCGTCGAACCAAAAGAATCGTTTATACGAATACGAATCTATTGGAAATACAAGTGCAAAAACTGCATCTGACGCTCAGTATCGCCAGGATGCAAATGCTGAACACTCATAAACTTGTATGGATGGTATTTGGTTTTTTTTAATTCTTTGGGCAGTCGATTTTGGTACCCCTACTGCTTGTCTTATGTGTTTGCAAGGTAATGGCGGCATTGCTTCTATGTAACCTAAACATTTGTTTCTATTTTCTCCCTATTCTCTTTCAGATAATTTTTAGGACGTGATTAAATAAAGAATCCGTGCCTAACTAGATTTATTTTCAAACTAGCAAATATATTTAGCTATTTATATTTAGGTTGTCGTCTCTCTGGATATTTAATATAAGCAAAACATACCAACATATCAGATTTCATACACTGTCATTATTATACGAAATTAATTAAAATGAAATAAATCCAGAAAGAACAAACAGCCAACTATCTACTTAACATTATAATAACATAATATTTATTTATCTTTTCGTCCTCTTTCTTCGAAGTTAAGTAAACAGTCTCTTGTATAGTAATCACTGCTTAGAGGTATCTTATTTCTAGTTGATTTGGTTGACTTCATAGTGCTACAAATAAAGTAAAAAATGAAAAAAAAATTGCTTCATAACTAAAAAATGTTTAGAGAAAGTAAAAAACAAGGTACGCCACTGGATTTTAAGGCAAGAAATCCTATATGAACGTTGTAGATACGGTTGTGGTCCCAAAATCGATAGTTTTGGATTTCACCCTGTATCTCAAAAACCAAGAGGTCTATGGTAATCCGACGACATCTTTAATTTCACAAAAAAGTAGCACAGTGTCGCGTAAGCCGCAACTTTCATTCTTAAAAAATAATCTGTCTTTCGTTCTTTTCATAAACAACACTTCCAATTCGAGTAAAACGATGCATTAAATTCTCAAGAGTTCTTTTAAAGGGCCGCCATCAATCGGATACTCTTGCTTTTAAATTCTCATAGCTAATATTGGTTGAGTTGCAAGTTAAACAACTAACAACAAATTGAAAAGTTTCAAATAATTATTTATTTGCATAGCTAACTTACATTTGTATGGGCAACCTTCATTTGCATGGCAAAGTTGGATTTGCATGACCAACTTAGATTTACACTAAAAGTCGCGACCTGGAAACTTTATTTATAATTCAATAAGAAAGGTATAATTTTTAAGTTAATTATTGGCTTCTTGCAATATTTTCTCATAATTTGACAAATTTAATAAAAGTGAAAGAGCTTTAAATGGCATAATTAATGAAAGTATAATACACGAAAACTATTTTTTTCCATTTTGACTCACCCTGTATAAATGATTCCAACTAACTCTAAGACAAGACAACAATTAAATAAAAAATATAAAAGTTTCGTTTCTTCGCATGCTATTTTCATTGGTAGTACAGGACTTCTCTTAACGAAATTGAAATAAAAGTGTTAATCCCAGTGGGGTCACAGAGGATAATCTAATTGTTCTTTATAGTAAAATTGATTGCATGCCACTGTTTGTATGTTTTCAATTTTGTTCAGGTTATTTAAAATTCACTTTTTTGCCTTTCCTAGTGTTTTGTCCGCGCGGAAACAGACTTTTTTCCGCAGCTGGCACAGCAAGAAGTCGCAAAAAATTACTCAAGACTTGATCAAAAGATTTTTGATTACTTAACTTAACGGACCCTACCTCGCTTTTGATCTTCCTTCCGGAGGGGCCGGCCCGTACTGCGTCCTTTGTGCCTCGGGTGGTAAGGAAATTTGTTGATCAGCACGCGGATGACTTGATGCGTTCAACGGCACTTTTGGAACCACACGATGAGAGCGACCGATTTAGCGCTTCAGCGTGATTTTTAATAAATAAATAAAAATGATTTCCGTACATTTTAATAGACCACTTAAACTCCACGTTTTCCGTAATAACAAGTAGCTTATTTCAACATCAACATTTAACATTGGGAAAAATGTGTCTCGATTCATGAGATTTGTTTTATTTAATTAGAAAATGATCGCCACCTTTTTGGAAACAATCTCGTGGGCTGCTTAAATAACCCTTGATCGTAACTTTCGGTTTTCATCATACCCCATACGAAAAAATTCAAAGAGGATAAATCAGAAGAGCACACTGGCCTAGGAAAGGAGCCGTCTTGACCACCATATATCCATTTTTCCGTAAAATGGTGGTGCAGCTATCGTCGAACTTGTAAAGTGTAATGTGCAAGACATCTATCTAACTGGAACCATCTGCTTTGCTCTATTAATAAGAGGCACGTCATCAAAGAGTGCTTTAACATCACTTTTTAAAAAACTATGGAATAATGGACCAGCATTCCTGAAGGAGGCAGAAAATATGGACCGACAGTGAGTTGTCGCAAAAGGCTATCCAAATATTAATGCTGAAAGCTTCAATTTATATGTACTTTGGCAATTAAGGTATAAGATTGATATTCAGCTTTTGCCACTTTACTATTATGGCTACGTACAGTCCTGCCTGTTATAATGCCATCATGTGTTAGAGTTTGGATTAATTGTGTCAGGGGTGGTGAGATTTCAGATTACAAAAAAAATAAATAGTGAGAACTGTTATTATGAACTGTTAAAGTCCTATACCGGGTGTCCCAGTGAGGGCAATGAGGTACGGTATTGGGAAAACGGATGATACTAGAAATTTAAAAAAAAAACATATAAAGTAAATCGGCCAAGAGAAAATACTGGAAATAATTTTTGAGGGTTTTAAATGGTCACGAGAGGGCGTAATTGCCATCTTCTGGATTCCTCCTGCGTCGGTTGATTATAAATCAAACTCGCTGATCTTGGATTCTTCGGAGCTAAACTGAAACTGGCTCGTATTCTACTCTGCACCTGTATATTGTTTGAGTGAGACGTAGCTAAACGGATGACTGAGTCGGATTTTTCGTTAACAGAAGAATTGATTACATGCTGGAATTTTAGTTTTATCGAATAAGATTTGATGTCCGGTTTCGTAAGGGTGTTCGCCATCTACTGATGATTTTATTTTTCGTAAAGTTGTATAGTAAATCTCTATTTCAGTCTCATTGATATTTTTCGTCCGGTTTCTTCAGTGTGAACTCCTGGTATCGCAAACGTCTTTGACGAATCGAAGATGTTGAGAGATTTTTGGATGAGTAGTAAAACTGACTTTGACGTTATATCTCTTAAGAACTTTTGATAATATGTGGTTTGTTTCGAATGCAAGGAAGGAACTCCTAATATATTTCATGTAGAAATTATTAGAGAGAAGAGCAGATGTAAGGTGTTTTAATTCTGGGTTCAGTGACTTGGTCTGAGATAGATTGCGGCTCTGTAAACAAAAGAGTTGATAGCCGATGATTTTCGGGCCGGATGTTGAAATGACAATGCATTAGGTATAGGTCTGTGGGCCTAAGTTCTCTGTAAACAGAATAACCCAATGTTAGGTATGATTTTCTATTGATAAGAATATATAAGGGAGCTTAAATGACTAAGAAAATCTCGGAAGGATTCTTGACCATAATGCCAAATAACAAAAGTATTATTAATGTAGCGTTTCCATAATTTTGGTTTTAGATGGAAGTTGTCGAGAGCCTTTTTCTCAAAGGCTTCCATAAATTAATATATTCGCAATGACTGGTGATAATGGAGAAACCATAGTTTTTCCAGACGTTTGTTCAGAAATTTCAATATTAGAAATATATTCCACACAACCATTTTAAGATCTATACCTAATGCATTGTCACATCAACATCCGGTTTCGTTGTAGATTCTCGGATTTTTATATATGTTGATAGTTTCCGGAACAGGAACTTTAAGCAGTAATGATTTTTAATTGTTCAATGAATGAAAGGAATTAAGTACGAAACTATCAGTAACTATCTGTAAAGGGTTTTAATCTGAGAGCTAGATATTTTGCTAGATTGTGACAGGCTTTTTCACAAATTTTGGTAGAGAACAAGCTTTAATAACAGATTTAAGGTTGCGTTCTATAGATGATGTAGGACATCAAATCTTATACGATGAAACTAAAATTCTTGCATGTAATTAATTCTTGGACCAACAAAAAATCTGAGAATCTATAGAAATCTATAAGCAGCCAAACAAGCGCGACTCAAGATTTTAGCTTTCACCAATATGGGAATCAATCATGTTGGTGGTTGGGTTTTATTTTGAGACAACGAATTGCCCACCGAATTTATGAATGAGGTCTTACAGGAAGTAGGTACCTAGCCATTCTTGAGGAAGACATTTCAAAATTATAATATATATATATATATATATATATATATATATATATATATATATATATATATATATATATATATATATATATATATATATATATATATATATGATGACACTATACTCCGGGATATCATCCGTTCGCTCGTTGAACTCCGACTGGAATCCTGCATCCCACTGGAATCCTGCAAATCCTGCATCCGACTGGAATCCTGCAGACGTTTCGCCAAAATCTCACTTGGCATCTTCAATGCTCGCGCTCCGAAAACACTTCGAACACTGGCTGTAAAGGTCTCCTTCCCGTAAAGGTGTATGATATTCTCACGTATTGATTCACGGATGGAAAAATGTGATAACACTATATTCCGGGATATCATCCGTTCGCTCGTTGAACTCCGACTGGAATCCTGCATCCGACTGGAATCCTGCAAATCCTGCATCCGACTGGAATCCTGCAGACGTTTCGCCAAAATCTCACTTGGCATCTTCAATGCTCGCGCTCCGAGTGTTCGAAGTGTTTTCTTCGGAGCGCTCCGAAAACACTTCGAACACTTCCATTATTACAGAAAATTAATTAAAATAAAATACAGAAAGAACAAATGGATAGGTAATAAAAAAATAATTAAAAACTGACAGTCTCGTAAAGAGTTATAGCCTATTTACTACTATCTACTTAACATTACAATAACATAATATTTATCATATCAATAAGACATTATTAAGTAGTAAGCACTAACTAAGTAATGAGTCTCTTATATATATAATAATATAATAACTGCTTAGATGTATCTTATTTTTAGTTGATTTAGTTGATTTACCATGATGGCCCACTGGTACAAATAAAGTTCAAAATGAAAAAAATTGAGTTTTGAGTTTAATTTTATACTAATATATATTTTTGAAAAGCTGGAATTATTTCCAAGCAATATAAAAATAATATATAGCAAGTTTCATTTAAAATAATATATGTTTGCTTCATAACAAAAAAACGGTCAGCGCAAGTAAAAAACAAACGACGCCACTTGATTCTATAGAAAAAATCCTATAGGAACGTTTTTCAAATTCTTCAACAACTCATAAGGCAACGGAGATGGTCCCAAAATCGATTGTTTGGGATTTCACCTTATAACTCAAATACCAAAAAAATAGCACAATGTCGCGTAAACCGGGACTCTCTATCTATAAAAATAACTGAAATACCCCCTAAAACTGACCATAATGGGATACCCATTATGGACAAAAAAAATTAGTAAAAAATGCTATACTATAGATGAAATTGCGACTCCTCCGAGCTCTTGCCTTAATTCACTTATTAAATTTTAACATATTTATTTTCCTTTTGTCTTCCTTTTTATGTAGATACGTACCAAGAGTTTGTAATTGACGTAAAAAGTCGATGGAAATAAAAATTTGCCAAATTGTCCAAATTTGCAATTTCATTTAGTTAGTTGTTTAAAAGAAAAAAATAAAGTCGTACTTACCGCGAACATAATTAACACGAACGACATTCCACAAATTGCGGAGTACCACCGAAACTTTAACACATTTCGTTGAAGTTTGCAGTCTTTGTACAATCCAAAATCCGCAGTGGTCACGATCATTTTTCTGGTGGATTCGCTTAGCACAGCTGATCGCTTATTACGTTGGGACACACGCACGCTACAAACGACTCGTGGTAAATGTAGTGCATAGGAAAAATATCCCAAATACGCAATTACACGGTTTGAGTGATTTTAAACAATATACATCTAGGAAAACGGTTGCCACTTTCACTGAAATGGTAATTATTGGAGAAAAGACACACCTATATGTGTCGGATGAATTAAACCGATTTAAAACTTTCGTACTAAAAGTTAATATTTATTATTCTGATAAGAATAAAAAACAAATCAACGAGAAGAAAAAGGAAAATTTTGGCTTTCATTTATTGCTCTTTGACACCAAGAATTTATCCTGAAATATTCTGCAGAAAAATGCTCTAACAAAAGTTTTTTTTTAAGAAAAAATGTCTATTACCGTCACCTCGTAATAAAAAACAAAAAAATATATTCATATAATATTTCATTCGAGTCCGTGCACCGCCCATACAAGCTTCTCTCAAGTGGCTTCTCCTTCGCCCAAAATAGAATGTGATATTCTCGTGATGCATTCGACTTCACTTTGTTATTTACTTACTTTGTAGAATTCATATATCCAATGTTTTTCAAACTGTTTAAACAAGTTTCTTTTGAAACTCGTCAAACAATTGCATCTGACCATTTTACAGCTACCTCTTTCAATGCAGCTCTGCGATCTTGTTTGATAATTTTCTAGATATTTCCATTAATATGGAATAATGTGATAATATTCCTTAGTGTGGCTTGAGGTATGGTGAATTTTTTTGCAATTTTGTGCCCAGAAATTTCGCATATCGTTCGATAACGCCTTTCAGCGAACCATTTTTCCAACAAACTGACTTAAAGCGCTAAATTGACCACTAGACAACCATGTGATAATTTTTATATAAAACTGATGATTTTTTTGTTATTTCTTAATGTAGTAACTGAAATAATAACAAATATTGTTGATTAGTGGTACATAGCATCAAATTATCCTAGTTGTTTTTGTTTGAGTTATATTAAATAATTAAAAATGAGTTCAGATACTCAACATTGTATTAATATATGGACTGGGCTCGTATTTTATTTCAATTTTCTTACTACAAAATCTGGACCGGTTTGATTTATTGGTCCAAAAAATGCCTACAAGCAGATAAAAACGTTAACAGCACGAACACAATACCGAATTGCTATTCTCCAGAACTTTCAACCGCCGAACAATGATTTAAAGGGGAATACCTTAACATCGAATTTTTTAAAGCAACGGGGAACTTGTTTTTTTATTGAGAATATTCCTGCATATCTATTTACAAAAGTTTTGACTGAAATATGTTATGAAAAGCATTAAAATATATTAGGTAAAATCACATGATTTTTATATTTGAAAAATCAGAAAGTTACCCATTATCAAAAAAATGAAAATTTATTGTTTATATTTGATCGTCTTATACCTAACGGGATAGTTATTTTATTTTAATTTTATTATTTACTTATTATTATTATGACTCGATAATAACAGTCACAACTGCCTGTCATATTTGGCAGTTTGTATCAAAAAATTTCATTTTGGAAGGGTTGCTTTTAATTTGTTGAAAATTGTTATTTCTATAAGGGTGAAGAAATTTTCCAAATATCGACATGAAAACTTGGAAACTGCTCTCCAATAGGTACTCGCGCATGATTAGGGCCTTGTGTGCAGGTGCGCCTTCCTATTGAAACCAATATTGTCCAACTTTTACAAGCGGTAAGTTGTCTAAAGCTTTCTGAATGTTTAACCCACATTTCTAGATATCCGGTATCCTGCAGGATTGTCGCTTTCCCATTAATGAGTAATTCGTCATTTAAAAATTGGGGAAAGTGAAGAAAGAAAGAAAGGATTTTTTAGTTATCTGAGCAGCACGTTATTAACCTATAAATTTTGTAACTTTTTTCTAATTTAATGATCATTGTATCCCTGATGGTTCCCAATATCCCCATGAGAGACATCCTTATCTTTGGAGAAACTGCATACGATGTCACATTTTTTAATAATTTATTTGCTTATTTATTTTTTATACATTAGCCTTTCTCGACGATGGGTGCATTTGAAGGCTTTCTTTGAAATCGGCTAATTAAAATAAATTAATTAAGCAGTTTGATCCGTATTTCTTTAAATTCTGATGTGCCAAGAATAAATTAGCTGTCGGCTGTAGAAAACTGAAAAAGAAACATTTTTTTTAAATAAAGTCCTTATAAAAAAATCTCAAAAAGAAACCTATATTTTAAATTTTTTTTCTACTCCCGTCTGTAAAACACCTAATTACCCACTGACCTAGCGTGCAGGAAGCGTCACTTTACCACGTCAGTTTCGTTTCCCATGAATCCGAGCCACTTCCGTACATTTCCGGGATTTACCGCACGGGTTTGGCAGCAATCGGATGTTTTCGGAGATTTTTCCACTCTTTGAATTTTGAGATTTTTCAATTCTGACGGTCATGTATTCGTGTTTTGCGAAAATGTACGCAAAAACTGACGGGCGTAGAAGAAGTATAGTATGCAACACGTTCCGTAAACTTTTTAACTCACTCGCCTGTTAAATACTCGCTCCGCTCGTGTCAAATAAAGTCGCGAGTCAAATGCGGTTTACCGCACCTGTTGCATAATATACTATTATGTCAATTTTGACAGGTAAAGTAAATGTTTGAAGCTTTCGTAAGTTGATTTGTACAAGCTATGCCCATATGATCATCAAAAGTTGCCAAACCTGTGATTAATAAAGTGTTCTCATATGACACGAACTTTAGTGGATGATACCGTATATAGAAGGTGTCCCAATAATTAAAATTTAACAATAACTATTTTAACTCAACCTAGACACACCCTGCACTTGGAAATTGTTTTTTTTTACAAAATTTTTACAAAAAAAAAATTACGAAATTTGTCACAGGCCCATTATATTAATTGATCAATTAGAAAATATACAAATTTTTCAACAAAATTGTTAATGGCATTTATGTAACACAGGTGGTCACTCTGCACGTGAATGAGCTAACATGACTGTTACTCTTTTTTTGCCATTTAAAATTATCTACTTTAAAAATGTTTAGCGCTCAGAATGCGTATTTGTTTTCTCACTCAGTAGTTTTATCTGTTTCAAGAACTTAGCACTACTCACTGGTTATAATTACACTTTTGGAGTGGAATATGTGGAATATTCTCTCAAAATGGCTCCAACCAAAGTTTGTGCCCCATGACTGTAATTTGCAATTAAAAACATCATAAGTCATAACCACCAAAACTTTTATAAATAGTGGAGAAAAAATTACATGGTACGCAAAATAAATATTTTATTGTCAATTACAATATCACCTAATTTACTCAAAATGCAACAGTAAAGTTGTTAGTCTCAAGATACTTCTATTAATCAATACATATATGCGTTGTCACTTTAGAACATAAGGACTACCTAATGCCTAATGTCAGATATTGCTACCTGCAACAACTAGACCTTTTGTTAGAGATTAAGGACCGTTTTACTTCCACCTGAAAAATGAAACTATCAAACAAAATTGTGTACTACATAAATGTAGAAATACCTTTGGGCCTCCGGCCATTTTAGTTCTTATGGCCCATCTTAAATCGTCACGACTAACTTGCCCAGGAATTTTGGATTTCTTCCACTCCGACTTATAATAATGATACAGAGCTACTGGATCTGACTTATTAATGGAAACTTTTGCAGTCGATGGTCGAATAACTAAATAAGAAAGAAAATTCAAACAAGTCTTTATTTTGCCTTTTAGTTACTCACAAGCCACCTTGGATCTGGAATCTGATTTTGAACCTCTTGATGCACATGACAAAGTTGCAGTCCTAGATGTCCCACTATTAGCAGCAGTTTTTGTTAACTCAGGGTTGCACTCATTATGCATATCTTTAACATGAATACAATGTGCAGGATGAGTGGCTTTTTGTTTCTTTAATATGTGTACCGAGATTTGCTTGTCCTTTGCTTCTACATCTTTTGCTTTATTTGCATCTATAACCTGGGTCTTTGGCTGACAAATATGTTTGTCACTGTGGCTGCTCTCAGAACATTCGCAATAATCACTGTTGTCATCATTGCAATATCTGGCTTCTTTTAAAGAGTCCGATTTACCCACGCTACTTCTAGTGGCGTTTAAAGATTGTTCCCCTAGGAATCGTATGTCGTATTTTATTAACTTTTTTAAATCTGCAATATAGCATAACCTTAGTTTCTGACGTGAACAAAATATTACCAATTACCTACCGATGATAAAATCTTTTAATTGTTGAGCGTTAATGTTGGTGTAACCTAATTCATTTAAATATGTCAGAACTTCTCTTGGGTCGATTTTTTGAGACATTCTTATTCGAACAAAAAAATTTAAAGTAACGAACATGAACAGATAACCAAAATTTTTATCAAAGAATAACTTTCCGTCAGTCAAAAATGGGGATAGAACTTTTGACAAAACGCCATGGTCTTTTATACGACCTTGGACCACGGAGAGCCGTAAAATCGGAAATATATGTGTTGCCGCTGCGATGACGTCACCTGGCACAAGTCTCAACGTTACACCTATTTCCACTTAAAAGGTTTCATCTACTGTCAACATTAGTTTTCACAAAGATATCTTCGACAACATTTTCAATTATTTGTGGTAAATTTTTTAACCACAGTTCTGAGTGATATGCCTGCTAAAAGAGTGTTGTCCCTATGAATACTTAGAATTGATTTTTGCCAAGTAAAAGTAACAGAAGTAAACTCTTCGAAGCTTTTTTTTATTTTTACCCTTTCTCTATTTACTAAATTTTTTAGTCACTCTCGTCTAGAACCACAAACTATCTTACTGATAACGTAAGCCTGTTTATATTCATAAATTCATTTAAAGTTCAAATATCACGATTCATCAATAAGTTGATGTCACAAGGCTGATTCAAATTTAACTATTTTATCCTAATAGTCCGTTTTCAAAACTGGCCTGAGCTGATATGTTGGTTGCCTAGTGCTGGCGATTGGTGGTAGGTGGGATCCCAATGACAGATGTAGATTTAACATGTTTGACCGTGGTCCGATGTTTCGGTTGATTTTCTGCAATTTAATTGTGTTGAAAAAATGAGAAAGTATTTGATAAGTTTTGGTTAGTTTCTGTTATTCTGTTTTTGTGGAGCATATACAGTATCCAGCAAAAGTCTAGCAGATTGACAATTTCTTTAAAAATATTGCTTATAAAAACCATATTATAAAGCATAACTAAAGCCAAGAAAATACAAGAAAAGTGGAACATTATAATGATTTAATAATAGCATAGAAAAAGCACTTTTAACAGCAAAAACTTATTGACATTCATATAGACTATTGCGACTGATTTATTACTTTTAAATTACAGAAGTAGACTTTGAAATGTCAAATCAGTAGTTTTGCAATTGTAGCAGAATGAAAGTACTTGATATAAAGTTTTTTTTCGAGGCGTGTACTGTAAATATTGAAAAGTATGTTAATCAATAAAAATTTGTATAAGAGGATGGGATAAAACCTATAAAATCTTAACCATATCACCCACAATCTACCTGTTTTGTTGAGACAAGTATTCAAAGAAACTTGAAAAAGCCTTATTTTACGTAAAAAAAGGAAAAAAATCAAAACGTATTAGAAACTATTTTTAAGTTAAGCCCAAAACTCGATTTCGTTTAATATTGGTAATAAGTTGGTGGATTCTATGCAAAATTATACGCCAGTGAAAACCCCGATTGTGTCTACAGTACCAAAACCGAACATACAACTACCAGAAGTAAAGTATTGAAACTGCCAAGTGAGAAACGTCTGCAGGATTCCAGTCGGAGTTCAACAAGCGAACGGATGATATCCCGGTATATATATATATATATATATATATATATATATATATATATATATATATATATATATATATATATATATATGTATATATATGTTGTAAATTCTTCCGTGTTTTACTCCGCGTCTGGTCTGGCTGGCTCCAAGTGGAGATAGTCCTCTGCTGACAACGTTTCGGCAAGATCTCACTTGCCATTTTCAAGTCGGGTCGTTCTGCTTCTCGTCTGAACTCGGCTTGTATATTTTTTGCAGGTTGTTTCTTAGTAAGTAATATGATTCATTGAATGAAAAGTAAATATCACTGGCAGCAATTTCAATTTAATTCGACGGCCTACGCCAGATAGTACTTGTTCTACTCAGCGCATTATTTTACTTTTTTAGGGAAAGCTGGTTGTACATTGACTTCTGCTGGATTTCTTCTCCACAGATTTTGGTTGTTAGCGGCCACACCTAACCGAGGAAAAATCTAGGAGTCAATCTACCGTCGACAGCATGCCGACGTTTCTTTAAAAAATCATTGGTGGTTCATGTACTAAATAAAACGCTTTTCAAGTACACGATTATTTATTTCACTTATTTTTTTTTCTCAATATTGATTTTGTACAAAAACTTTAATTTTAAGCCAATCTTTATTTTGAAGCAACGGTATAGTTCCTTCAATTTTTCGCATTGACATCTTTGCCTTCTTATTTTTTGTTTTGAAAAATAGAATGTAACTACATTTTTTTGTTCTTCTATCCATGGAATCAAAATCCTTTTTCGGTTTTTGTCCTTTACTTCTAAAACTGGTTCTAAACTAATGCTTTTTCCTTCAGTTTTTTTTACATCCTGGATTAATTGTCTGATTTGATCCATATCTTGTTTCTTGTCCCGTTTCCTACTTGTTTTCGTCGAAGTTTCTAGATCTTCATCTTCGCTAGTTTCTTCATTTAAAAGATTTTCTTCTAAATCAATTGTAATTTCGTCCAAGCTTTTCCCCTTATGAACACCTGCCTCTCCTTTTTCAATTAAAAGAAGAAGATTGGATATCTTTGCTGTCTGATAGACATCGTGTGGCAATCTATATGATCCTCTGTGCGAGTTCGATGTATGGCCCATGAAAAAGGTAGGGGTTGTTGTCAGTGACGAATTTTGATCTCGCCTGTAGTAGTTGATCAATATATACCTGCATATTGTGACTAAATATGACTGGCACTCCTCTACCCGTCTTTCCTCTAATCATTATTCTTTTAAAGTGTTGTAACAAAATTTTTTCTGCTTTCGAGATAAGTTCACTAAATTCTTCGTAAGAGTTTGATGATTTTTCTTAAGCAACGTAAGTATCCTTTAATAACAGCTGTAATTCTCCTGGTCTCCTTCTATTCAATAAAATAACTCTACAATATACTGTCTCCACCAAAATTAAGAAGGCATTGACATTCATTGCATTTTCAGAGAGTAAATTGGCAGCTTCTTCTGCAGTAGACATTAAGTATTCTTTTAGAAGTTTTAGATCAGACGATAGAGAAACAATTGTTTTTTATTAAATTTATTGATGTTTAGATCATTGCCAGCTTGACTCAATATATCAAATCGCCAGTTAGGTGCTAATAAAGTTACCGTCGTTTTTAATCGAGATTCAATATTTGCCGTTTCAACTGATGGTTCTTTTTATGGTCATATAAGTTGCAATATCGCAGCACTGTCTCAGTGATATGGAAATATTCATAGCATATGTGGGCGCTACAAACACTTCCTTAATGTTATCAAATCTTGCCACATATTTTGTAACTTCCACCAGTTTATCGTAGTGCTTTGGATGCAGTGCTTCAAATAGATTTGCTATGTTTGGATCCATTTTTTTAAACTCTAATAAAATTCTTGACAACCCTCGCATTTTTCTACTTGTAACATTAATAAAATGTTTTTCGCGATGTGTCTTAAGATAACGAGCTCCAAAGGCACATATTAAAAAGTCATTCTTTGCCTCTAAAGAAATCTTATCAGGTCTCATTCTAGGAAAAACCTGATCTTTTAATTGTTGGTCAATTCGGGTAAAATTTTTTATCGAAAAGTTTTGACTTGCAGCTTGAGCATTTCTTGATGAACTAGCCGCTGTGCATTCCTGTGTGTGTCGATATAAAATTTCGATCTGTAAAATCCCAAGCAGTTTGTGCATGGCAAAAATTAGTTCCCTGACTCCCGTGCTTCTTCTGAAAGTTTTCTCCTTTCCTCACTCTTTTTAGGTTTGGAAAAAATTTGCAATACTTCTAATTGATATGGGTGATTCCTTTTGATATGTTGAGGAAAATTTTGAACATCGGTTTCGCAAAAGTAGCACAAGTCCTTTTTCCTAGTATATTTTTTATTTTCTTTTGTATTTCTCTTAATTGTGTTCATTTTTGTATCCCTGAAACCTGAAACTGTTTTTAATCCATAAAATATACGCAACCATGGCTGACAATACTTACAGAATCTTTTTGAGATTCCTCTGAGTTTTGCACTCGAATATTCTGCAAAACCTTAATTTTTTGTAAATGAAAACCAGGTTATAGAATGTTAAAATAACATGACAAAGCAAAGTGAAGACATTCTTGTTTATACTACGATAAAGACTCTAAATCACTGAACCAGTTTTGAAAAAATTGACTGAAACCGACGATTTGCAACCAAAATTTTATGATATGATATGATATAAAACTTATAAAACCCTTGTCTGCCTCTTGCAAATATTCACTATTTGAGTAACGCTCTGAAAATTTTAAATTTTGCTTCTCCCTTTATATTTGATGGTAACAATCTGGGTGCAAAGTATTCACGCGATCGTTGTCCATGTTGTCGTATTGGAGGCTTTTTATAATAAAAGAGAACTCCACTACAAGTCCTTTATTTAAACTGTGTCATGAGGTTCATATATAAGCACGCGAGATACTTGGCTGAGAGTTCCACATTTTAACCTCTGAAGACCATAGAATAGGAACACCACAGACCACCGAACAAAACCCTGATGCAACATCTTTCCCCTTTTAAATGAAATAACATTACATTACAGTCTTTTAGCCACGTGCTTTTTCTGTTGGCACCATGAACGTCTATTTGCTACGGACTGTTCTATGGGCGCACTTTGTTCTGTTTTACTTTCCGACACCGCACTAGATTCATTTTCGGGCTGCGATGAATCACAAACTTCCGCACCACTTTTAGATGTTTCTGGCATTGTTACCTGGACCGGTTTTTTATTAAAGTTTTGAAACTGTGAAACATATGGCGCCAAAACAAGGTGCCATCGATTTTGCCTAAATTCGCCTCGATCTATTTGGATCAAATAAGATCTCGGTTCATCCAATTTTGTAAGTATTTTCCCATATTAAGTTCTCCTGGTGTAAAACTATTTCCAAGAGTACATCTGTATGAAAGCAAAGCTTCTAAAAAACAATTTTTATTTTTCTTAATGAGATTTTTTGCAATTTTGACAGTAGACTCGACTTTTCCATTGGATTGTGGGGCTCGAAGTGATATGTTTAAAATTATATTTAGTAGCAAACTCTTAAAATTCGTCCGAAAATTGAGGGCCATTGTCACTTCGCACCTCTTCAGCAATCCCATAGCGAGCAAAAACATCCTTCATTTTGCCAATTATTATTCGTGAAGTCATATTTTGTCCAAGAGTACTAATTTCAAAAAAGCAAGAATAATTATCGTGACATCGTGACATTTATACAGATCAACACAATTTTTTTTGCCAGGGTCTAGTCACGACACTAGATCGACTATTCCTGATCTGCCTAAAATAGGAGTAAGTAAATTTTTTAAAACATATACTTTAAGTTGAGATTTTTTGTCTCGTTATGTGATTTCCAACTTTAAGGTACCGATTACATGTAGAGGTCGACCATCTGGATCCGATATAACATCATCAGGAGTTTTTAATTTTTTTAAAAGATGTTTTGGAATAAGATTTACCGGCATGCAAGTCACATCGGCTCCCGAGTCTACCAAAAACTTAATTTTATTTGAAAACCCTTCAATTTGTAGCCTACAAAACCATTGTGACATTGAGTCTGAATTTTGGTTAGATCTAGATCCTACCATTAATCCTATAATCCATCTTTTTTGTTGTTTTCTTCTTCGGATTTGATTCAGTAGATTCTTTCTCTACTGCCCTCAAGCTTTTGTTTTTGCAAACCTGATATGTCGGCGGACTGGGTTTTCGAAAGAAAACAGTAAAGTTAATTACTTGCAGTTTAATATCACAAAAATAAAGGTTCTTTATTTTACCACGGTACCGCACGTGAAAATGTTGTTGCCTCTTGGACACACCGGCTGAGACTAACTTTTTGGTCGGCCCGCGGTGTTGCCAAATACACCACACTCCTCCCTCCTAGATTTCCCTCTAGGTTGTGTAATCCTCCAAATATCGTGGAGGGCGCCTTGTTCTGGCCGGCCGGGGAGTAACTGGAGTCCCTGAAACCTGCTCTGGCGTGCTCTCTTCTAAAGAGGGTCCATCAGCAGACGGTGAAGGGATAACGACCCTTGGAAGGATCTCTGAGGATTCCGCGAATCGCGAAACGTCGTAGTTCTGACTGCCTGAGACAGGTACGGTCTCTTCGGTGAGTGTACGCGGACGAATTTGATCGGTATGTCTACGTGTGATTTTACCATCGGGAGTTTTCACCTTGTAGCTGAGCGATACCGTTGATTCTATTACCGTTGACGGTAACCACCTTTGACCGGGAGCGTAAGACCTTACAAACACAGGATCATTCTCTTGGAAAGATCGAGGGGTTTCATTAGAAGAGTATTTGTCTTCTTGCTTGGCTGACATTTCTTTGGTGAAATCTGGTTGCATACAGTCTAAAAGCGTCGCTAACTTTCGTCCCATCAAGACTTCTGCTGGAGATCGACCTGTTACGCTGTGGGGTGTAATGTGCTGAGTTAGTAGGTATCTTGACAAAGCTAGTTGGACGTTCTCGTTCCTCATTTTCTTGAGTGCATTTTTTACATTTTGCAGCATACGTTCTGCTTGTCCATTACTACTTGGATGGTAGGGAGCAACCAAAGCTTGACGAATCTGGTTCGTTTTGAGGAATTGTTGAAATTCTTCGGATGTAAAAGCTGTACCATTGTCGGAGACAATAACATCTGCAATGCCATGTGTTGCAAAAAGTTCCTTCATGACTTCGATAGTCGCTGCACTTGACGTGTTCGGGACCAAACGAACTTCCAGCCATTTAGAGAATGAATCAATTACAATTAAAAATGATTAACCATCCATGGGGCCTGCAAGGTCCACGTGAAGTCGTGTCCAGGGTGCACGAGACCATTCCCATGGATGTACCGGAGCTTTTCTAGGCATATTTCGTGCTTCCTGGCACTCGGAGCAAGTTTTGATCTTATTTTCAATGTCACGGTCAAGGTTTGCCCACCAAATGTATGAGCGAGCAAGAGCCTTCATTTTTACCATGTCTGGGTGTCCAGAATGAAGATCTTTTCCTCCCTCCTGGAGGTGTTATGACCCTGGTTCCCCAAAACAAACAATTGGTAACAACTGATTTCGTTCTGTCGTTGAAAGGAAGGCTGAAATTCGTCAGGGAATTTAGATCTTTCCATCGGCCAACCTTTCCATACCCATTGTAAAACTTTGGATAGAATTGGATCCTTGGCTGTTTCACTGGCGATACGCTTAACATCTACCACTCTTTCCGGGATGTTCTCAAACATCAAAACATCGGGTGCATTGGGTGGTTCTGGAGTGTTTAATTTCTGGGGTAAACGACTAAGCACGTCGGCATTGCCCATTCTTGAGCCTGGAACATGGTGTAGATCGTAGTCATACACTGCGAGCATCAGAATCCATCTTAACAATCTCGGAGAAAGGATTTCTGGGATTCCCGTCCTCGGGCTAAAAATACCTAGGAGAGGTTTATGGTCCGTCCGGATGCTGAATTTTCGTCCATATAGGTAATCGTGGAACTTCTTAACTCCTACAATGATAGCGAGAACTTCTTTGTCCAGTTGTGAGAAATTCCTTTCTGTTGAGGATAATGTGCGACTATGGTACGCCACTGGGACCTCTCTACCGGAGTCGTCAGGTTGACTGAGGACACATCCAACCCCATATGAACTAGCATCACAAGTAAGGGAGAGTTGTTTATGTTCGTCATAATGTCCAGTATGGGCTCTGTAATTAGGATATTCTTTAGTAAGTTGAACGCTTTTTCATGTCCTGCATGCCACTGCTAAGAGACGTCTTTATGAAGCAGATTATGCAATGGATTAGCAATCGTTGCTTTGTCTTTAAGAAAAACGTGGTAGAAATTTATCAATTGCAATTCCGTTTTGTTGGTTGGCGCAGGCGCGTTAACAATTGCTTTCACCTTCTCTTTGGTCGGTCGAATTCCCTCTGCACTAACACTAAAACCTAAAAATTCTATAGATTTCGTGTGAAAAATGCATTTATCACGGCGTAGATTAAGTCCATCTTCTCGAAAACGGGTAAGTACTTCACGCACTTTACGGTCCAAATCTGTTTCGGAATGTCCAACTATGAGAATGTCGTCGTAATATGGAAGAACTCCTGTGATTCCGGTGAGTCTCATGTTCACAAAACGTTGGAAAATTTGGGGTGCCACGGAGACACCAAATTCTAAGCGTTTGCACCTAAAAGATCCTTTGTGTCTGATAATGGTCTGGGCGTCTGCAGCTTCTTGGTCTACACTCAACTGCAGGTAACCTTGAGCCATGTCTAGTTTTGCGAATATTTTACCGCCTGCTAGAGCTGCTAATATATTTTGAACAGACGGAACTGGATAGGGACTGTACATAACGCCTTGTTTATGGTACTTCGGTAGTCACCACAGATACGCACTTCACCATTGTCCTTGGCGACAACAACAATTGCAGTGGCCCATTTTGGATGAGTCACTGGCTCCAGCACACCTTGATCGACAAGTCTATCCAATTCATGATCAATCTTGTCCTTTAAAGCGAATGGTACCTTTCGGACTTTGAGAACGATAGGATTTATGTTGGGATCTAAGGAAAAACTTATAGGAGGCCCTTTGAATTTCCCTAGAGTTGACTTGAATACTTCCGGGTATTCCTTGACAAAGTCTGGGTTTGAATCACTTATCTGATTTATTCCTGTAATAGTTAAACCTAGCCTCCCAAACCAGTTTCTTCCGAGCAGGCTTGCTCGCTTGCCTTCAGTAACAATAAGTGGAAGTGTAGCACTTTTTTGCCCCCATTGTAACATATTGTAACATAACACTCGTAACGTAACACTCGCCAATTGTCGAAATTAGCTGGTTTTGGTAATCTGGTAGAATTAAGTTACATGGTTTCACCTTTGCTGGATTGTCCCTGAAAAGTTTTTTAAAGGTTGATTTGCCTATTATGGAATGTCCAGCGCCCGAATCGATTTCCATTCTTATCGGTTTCTTATTCAGGAGGACGTCTAACAGATATTTACCAGTGATGCTGTCCGATTTCACACTGTTAAGCGAAAAATGGTACACCTGGTCTTCCGAACTGTTCTCGTTTTGTGGCACGTTTTCGAAACTGCTTTCACTAGATTGTTGGTTCACTTTTGGTTTTTGTTTTGAATGTTTTTTCTTTGAGAAACATGCATGTTCTGCGTGTCCTATTTTGCCGCAAAATTTGCACTTTGCGTTTTTGTTAACACACGAGTCTGGGGAGTGCTTTTCTTCGCAGCGAAAACACCTTTTGGAAACTCGCGAAACGCTTGTTTTCAGCTTCGAGGGATCTTTGTTTACCTTTTCGCGTGCGTTTACGTCATGCACATCAGCTGATTGTCCGCCGCCTTGATGATTGCAAGGCTGCGTGCTGCCACCTCGTGAGCAAGGCACATATCATGCGCTTTTTGAAGGTAATGTTTTCTTCCGCGAGAAGTCGTCGTTGGAGCCCGTCATCGCGCACGCCGCATACGAGTCTATCACGCAACATAATCTCAAGGTTATCGAATCCACAACTTTCGGCCAACTGGCGTAGCTCTTTGATGTAGACGGAAATGGATTGCTCGGGCTGCTGGTCCCGCCGATAAAACTTGAATCGGGAAACGATCTCTGACGTACGAGGTGCGAAATGATCAGACAAGGCCTTGATTATTTCCTCGTAGGTCTTTTCTGTTACCTTCATTGGTGCTATGAGCGATCGAATTATGTCGTAGGTCGCCGGTCCGCAGATGCTCAGAAATACGGCCTTTTTCTTTCCCGCGTCCGTTATGTCGTTAGCTGTCAAGTAAAAGTCGAGGCGTTCCTTGTAAGAGTTCCAGCTTTTCGAATCATTAACGTTGAAATGTTCAATGTTTCCGAAGGACGCCATGTTAACTTTTTTCGACTGGCGTGTCGCGCTTACGTATCGGGAAAAGTAACACGTTTCTTCACAGACTTTAGCGCGAATACTCGTGGTATCCCATCCTCGTCGCCAAAATGATGTGGGCGGACTGGGTTTTCGAAAGAAAACAGTAAAATTAAGTACTTCCACTTTAATATCACAAAAATAAAGGTTCTTTATTTTACCATGGTACCGCACGTGAAAACGTTGTTGCCTCTTGGACACACCGGCTGAGACTAACTTTTTGGTCGGCCCTCGGTGTTGCCAAATACACCACAAAACTTTTGCCCAATGTCCAATCTTCTTACAATGTGAACAAGTTCCCTTCCGATCTGGACATTTTCCCCGTGAGTGTGATTCCTTGCCACAGAAATAACATTCTGTCACTTCTTTGTTCTGTGCCCGTCCGGCTGTGTTTCCGCTGCCGCCTTTGCTGGTTCGATATTTTTTCTTGTCCAAGGCGCAGACCTCTTTCCTCATGCCTTCGCTATTCCTTAGAATGTTACTTTGTCGTGAAAGCATTTCCGCTGCTTGGCCTCCACAATTGCGTCTTCTAATTTTAAATCTGATTTTAGCTGCAATCTGTGGCTAAGATTCTGATCTGGAATACCGTCAACAATTCTATCTCTTATAAAATCGTTTTTCATGGTCGTAGAGCCACAAGTACAAACAAATTCACAGTTGTCCGATAAAACATGCAAATCTGTAATGAAAGATTCCACTGGTTGCCCGGGCTGCTGCCTTCTCCTATTGAAACGAGCACCTTCTAAAACTACATTTTTCTTGGGAAAAAAGTAATGATCCAACTCAACCAGTGTTTCTTGAAATGTATTTGCTGGATTTGGGAACTGCAAAATAATGTTTTCGCTTTCTGGCCCCATGATACAGGGTGCGGCACCATAACTTCCTTTTTTTAAATGCGCGCCATTCAGTTAGTTGATGTCATAGTGGGGCGCTAGTGGTCTCGTTCAAGAGGGGGTACTGTAAAGTTTTGTCCCGACACGGTTCAGTCGCCATCATGCGTTGGAATAGTGAGGAGCGTGCCTTTGCCGTTGAGGCCTACTTTTCAAGCGGTTGTTCGGTTGTTGCAACACAGCGTGCATTTCGGAATCGCTTTAATTTAGCTCCGTTGGCTCCCGTCCCAGACCGCAAATCAATTGTTACATGGGTCACTACATTCAGACAAACTGCAAGTGCGACAAAACGAAGAACTGGAGTCCCTCGGCCCGTTAGATCACCTGAGAACATTGAAGCAGTGAGAGCTTCAATGTCCTTGGACTATCCGATCGTTCTGTGAGAAGAATTCTTCGTGATGATCTTCATTTTCATCCCTATAAGATGGCGATAGTGCAGGAACTTACAGAACGTGACTTCAATTCTCGGATGAACGCGTGTGAGCTTCTTCTTGATGTCGTTCCCGAGGGTGCTATTGTTTTTTTTAGCGATGAAGCCCATTTTCATTTATGTGGGTCGGTTAACAAACAAAACATGCGCTACTGGGCTGACACCAACCCTCGACAATTGCATCAAAGGCCTTTGCATTCACCCAAAGTCACAGTGTGGTGTGCAATTTCCTCAGCTGGAATTATTGGTCCCTGGTTTTTTGAGGAAAATGAGGTTACAGTGACAGTGAATTCGGACCGGTATGTAAACATGCTACAGAATTTTTTTTCCCACGCCTAGAAGAGTTGGATTTGGGGGACACTTGGTTCCAACAAGACGGTGCAACAGCACTCACTTCAAGAGCATCGATGGCTGTTTTGAGGGAACACTTTCCAGAGCGCCTTGTGATTTTTTTCTATGGGGTTTTTTGAAATCCCTGGTTTATGTGAACCGTCCAAGAAGCCTACAAGATTTGAAGACCAACATCGAAGAAGAAATTGCCAACATAACACCAGCTATGCTAACAAGAGTCATGACAAACGCCAGATATCGGTTTACGCAATGTATGGAGAATGAGGGACGTCACCTAACAGATTTGATCTTCAAAACAATGTAAATAAAAACTTTAGACATGTACCTACATTATAAAAAATAAATTAAGATTTTCCGATGCACACAATAGTTTTTATTGAGTTTTGAAAAAAGGAAGTTATGCTGCCGCACCCTGTATAAATCAATATTTCGATTTTATCTTTGTCTGGCTTGGTATTAAGCTCAGTTACCGTTAGATACCTTTCAAACCTTCTTTTCCGTGTTGTCCAGTCTCCCGGTTCCCGGAAATAGAATTTTTCTGGAGCTTGCAAGTGCACACCTTGGTTTGACATTGTCGAAGTACGTGCAACGCAGTTGGCGCCACTCCTTTGTAAAATGTTACCTCCTTGACCACCTCTAGCGCCTGTTTGATCACCAGCACCTGGTATTTGACCGCCTGTTGTGTGTGTGCTTGGTCGAAAAACGTCGGCGTTTTCTTGGTCCACCATCTGCTGACATCCCCTTCTCAACTGTACAGACTTTTTGCACATTTACAGCTGCCACCATGTCGTATTGGAGGCTTTTTATAATAAAAGAGAACTCAACTACAAATCCTTTATTTAAACTGTGTCATGAGGTTCAGACATATTTTATGATCTGTACTAATCAAGTTAATTCTGGATGTTTTTTAATACATTCAAGCAACCATTTTTGCAAGATATTTAAATGTTTTAACACACTTCCAGAGAACCCGCCCCATGCTAAAATTCCGTACGTAATGAGTCTGTACAAGTGACATGTACAGAATTTTTAGTTCTCCGATATCAAAGAAATTTTTTAAATATACAAACTTAGATATCATGCCCACAATTCTATTAGAATCCTTTTTTATGTAAATATCGCACCTAAGATGTCAGATAATTATTTATTGGCATATCCAACTTACATTTGTATGCCTGGGTCGTCGCGACCCTGAGGTTAATTTAAAGCGGACTGTAATTTTTTTTTTAATTTTAAGCAGAGCGCGCAAGACGTGGTCGTGAGGGTAGAGACGGCAATAACCTCTTGTCGCTGCTGTCTCGCTGGACTGGGGCCCCAATAGCAGTTCCTCTCCGATCTTGAGGATCACGGTCTCGGTACGGTGGAGGTGGTTCACACGCACATGCAATGCGGAGGGAGACAATAGTTTTTTCTTTTGGGGGTTCAACACTATCGGCGTGCTATCGATGCCAAGTTCGAACGCGAAAACGTTAAGCACGTTCTTCCTTGCACGTGCGCGCGCTCTCCCTCTCTTTTAGCTCTACATTTTCCACATGGCGGAGACACCTTACGGGCCACTAAATTTTTAAACTTCCGCGGTTCTTGCCCGGGTGTTCGCTTTGCGGATTTAACAATGCCCAACCTACATTTACATGAAAAACTTAGATTTGCATGGACATTTGCACTAATAGACCCGATCTGAAAACATTGTTTTATAGTTCAATAATATTTTGGGAATTAGGAAACGTAAAATTTCTAAATTAATTGAAAGATAGGAAACATTTTTTTCACAAATTTTATATAGCATGTTCCACTTGATTTTTTTCACAATTAATATTTTTCATTTTAACTCACCCTGTATAATGGATTTGGGCTCACTTCAGGACAAGTACAGGATAATTGACTACTGTATAAAATTGTTGGCTTAATAAAATTACAGCTGCTGGAAATGGAGTCAAAAATATAGATTGTTAAACATAGGCCATTTTCGGCGAATAAATGGTCATACATCCGAACATAGTATAGACCATCCGAACATGGTATAGACCATTACAACCGTACATGTGATTACAGGTGATAAGTGTGAAAGGATGCAATAATATAGAGGGGTGTAGTTTTGATGAGAATGGTAGGTTAACAACACTGCCCCGTAGCTATAATAAGGTTGAAAATTGTGTAGGTTGGTAGCACTAGTAAGTTACAAAGCTTGACATTGATTTTTTTTTAAGAAACTTCCACAGGCTACTGTAGTACTTTTTACCAAACTTCTGGATTCCTCCTGCGTCGGTTTTTGCCGACGTTTCGCCAATCATCCTGTTGGCTTCTTCAGAGCTTGACTGAAACTGGCTCGCATTTTACTCTGTACCTGCTTATATATTGTTTGATGGCGGCGGAGCTAAATGAGGGGCATAAACACCGTCCCGGATGACTGATTCCAATATTATTGACAGGTAGAAACCTGAGTCGCGATTAAGATTGTTAAGTTGTTTGTAGATTTCTATAGACTCTCGGATTTTTCATTGGTAGAAGAATTGAATACATGCAAGAATTTTTTAGTTTTATCAAATAAAATTTTGTGTCCGGTTTCATGATTGTGTTCGGCAACAGCTGATGAGTTCATTTGTCTTAGTCGTAAGGCTCTTTCGTGTTCTTTGAGCCTAGTTGAAATTTTTCGTCCGGTTTCTCTAATGTATTCTTTGACTCATATGCATGGAATGCTGTAAACTCCTGGCATCTCAAATGGAATTTTGTCTTTGATGGACCGAAGATGATGAAAGATTTTTTAACAAGTGGTAAATCTGGTTTTGACGTTATACTTCTTTAGAACTTGTGATTGTGGTTAGTGATGGTTTGAATGTAAGGGAGGACCACAATGGCAAGTGTAGGATTGCTTTCGGTCTCATTGCTATTTGAAGGTTGTGGTGAAGTAAATGCTTAATATCTTTAATGTGGAAATTATTAGAGAGAAGAGCAGAAATAAGATGTTTTGGGCATTGCCTGCAAGCACTAATTAAAGCGACCACAAACGACAAGTCGCAGTAGTTATTGTAATGCAAAGTGTTATTTTTATATTATTTGTTTATTTCCAAATAAAAAAAAAAAACAGAACAGTTAAGAAAACACGTTTTCTGGGCGCGTCTGTCTATTTTTCGTCTTCCTCTTCCAAATCACTATCGACAACTCGTTCCAATTGCTTTTTGGTTTCTTTGGGGAATTCCGTAATGCAATCGTATGGCTTTTCGAAAACGTCGTAGGGTATAAAATCGTGGGGAACTGGCCACACCCGATCTATAATCGATAATCACCAGTAACATTACTAGAAGTCAAATTTTGCATAAGTCTAGTTGATTTCGATAAGAAAATTTTACAACCAGGTTTACGATCATGACTCAAGTCATATAAGTGACAATTTTGAATTGAGTACATTTTAGATTTCCTACTAATATCGAATTTATTTTACTGAAACTGATGGAAACGTTTATTTTTGCATGTACTTTATCTCAATAAGTACGACACTGAGGAAAAACAGTTGAATACAAAAAGTGTTTAACCCTAAGTACATATTTTATTTATAGTATTTTTATGTATACAGGGTGTTCTGTTGTGGCAGTAACCAACTTTTTTTTTAATGGAATGTTACCAATATTTCTAAAAATTCTAATTGCTCGCTTGGTTTTGAGTATTTTTTTGTCATTACTTGACATACGAAATTTTAACTAGTTTTTGAGAAAAATTAACTTTTCCATTTTTTGACGGAAAAGCCGGTCTTTGGAAAAATGTGTTTTTTTTTTAAACTAAAAACTAAACTAAAACTAAAACTGGGAATTTTTATTATTAATTTTCAATGCTTTCATTTATCTATAGCGAAAATATATTATGCAGGGTGGTCACAAATGACCATTAAAAAAAATATATTTTTCTAATTTGGAAAACCTTATTTTTTTAAATAGAACACGCACAACACAATTTAATCCTGTATCTGTATATTGCTTTTATTACAAAAATTGGTAATTTAGAAGTTTGCCAATTTTTTGCAGCAACTCATGTATTTTATTTTAAATCTAACTAAACCTATAAACATCCTATTCTAAGTTTCATTTTAAATATTAATTACCTACATCACCTAAAAGTAACAAGTAATGCAAGCAAATAGAACATATTACTAATTACTTACCCCATTAAAAACATAGTTTGGTTTCAATTTCCGCAATAGCATGTCTAACCGCGTTTTATTTTTGCAAGCTATCAATGTAAAAAAATGAATTTATAAAATTGTTGCCTGGACAGAAACACAGCAACACTTAATTTGATATTTAGTTGCCAACAACTTATTTTAAAATAAAAAATGGCATTTACACTGTTCAAGAGCGTTTAGATCTTCATGAATTTTACGTAAGAAATAATAAGAGTCCAGAATTAGCCCAAAGAAAATATAGGTTGTTCTATCCTGTAAGACGGGTACCCACGAAACATATTTTTTCACGAATTTTTCGTGATCTTGAACGTGGAGTGGTAGTCAATATTCGAAAACGCCGTCCTAATAGAAGAGAAGCAGATAGAATAGATAGATAGATATTTATTTCGCTTTTCGATACTACATATAACACATATATGGGTATATTAAGCACGTCATATCACATTAAAATACAGTGTTTAAACAATACATTTAAAAAATACATTTAAAAAAAATCATCTACTGAGTAGAGACACCTATCAGTTAAAAAGGTCTTAATTCTTTTCTTAAACACAGATAAACTATCAGTTTCTTCGAAGCATTTATAGAAATTTAAAGCTCTGTTATATATTTTCAAGCCAAAATACCTTGGGTTTTGTTGCCCAATATGCAGTCTAGAGAATGGAACATCCAAGTAATCTCTTTGCCGTGTGTCATGTTCGTGCAAGTCACATCTCCTATTCCATCTTATCATGTTACTTTTGACGTAAATCAAAACGGAATAAATATATAATGAAGGAAGTGTTATGATCTGAAGTTCCCTAAATAAATCCCTACATGAATGTTTACTAGTTACACGCATCATGTAACGAATAGCACGTTTTTGTGCTAAGAAGACCCGGTGTGCACCAGTGGCTAGACCCCAATAGATTATACCGTAACCTATCACTGATTGGAACAGCCCATAGTACACCAGCTTTAAAACGTCAATGGATACCGTATCTCGAATATTTTGGAATAAGTATGAGCAGGAGCTTAATTTGGGCAATATGTTGTCGATGTGATGATTCCATGTAAGTTTGTTGTCAATGTACAGACCGAGAAACTTAGTAGCCTCCACGTTTTCTATAGAACGTCCCTCCAATTGGAGAAGAATACTGGAATCAACGCGAGTATTTTTTGTGACTATTTCCGTAGCTATTGACTTAGATTTATTTAATTGTAGTCCGTTATCGCGACACCATTCATTCACCCTCGTGACCCTTGGTTCTGCAGCCCCTTTTAAATTAGCTCTGTTTTTATCTGTAACTAAAATGCTTGTTGCGTCATCTGCATACAGTACAAATAATGCATCTATATTATCCTGAGGAAGATCGTTAATAAAACAATTAAAGAGGAGCGGTGATAGGCAGGATCCTTGCGGGGTACCTCTGCCTACATATTGAGGGCTAGATTTTGAACCGCCGATCACAACCTGCTGTATTCTCTCGGAGAGGTAAGATTTGATCCATGAGTTTGCTGGACCTCTAATACCCATATTTTCCAGTTTTTTAAGAGCAGGCTGTGATCGACAGTGTCGAAAGCGCGGCTCAAATCAAAAAATAAGCCTAATGTGGCTGTTTTCTTATTAAGGCTATTGTAGATATGCTCCAGAGCACAGTCCAGAGCTGTAGTTGTGGGGCGGTTGGCTCTAAATCCGTTCTGAGCATCAGAAATCAAAGAGTATTTTTCAAGGAACCTCTGCAGTCTATCATTATAACAGGACTCAAAAATTTTTGCCACTTGACATTGAAGAGCTACCGGTAGTTCTCTATGTTGGTTTTATTGCCTTTGTTTTTAAAAATAGGTACGATTTTTGAGTTTTTTAAGGCCTGTGGATACTTGCCCTGGAGGAAGCTCAGATTGACTAAATATGATAGAATAGGAGCTATAATATCTTTAATAGAGATTAACAAAGTGCCCGGTATTTCATCGATTCCATACTTTTCTAATTACTTGTGTTATCTCTACTGTTGTAGTAGGGTAAAGAAACATCAAGCTTGAGTGTATTTTAATATCAAGCGTTAAATTTTGAGGCTGATCAGCCTCAGATAGCAAGATCTGCAAAATATTTGTTAAAAATTTCACAGATTTTGGATCTGTCTTGTAGTGCTATTATCTTCATTCGGGTTTAAAGGCCGTCGTCGATTGGAATTACTTCCTAACGTTTCGCTAGCACGAGTGGCGAGCTTCTTCAGAGGTCCTTCCATCTCCGATGTTGGACGTAGACTGACGATTTCTAATGCGCAGGTTGTATTTATGCCGATTGGTGGAGGGCGGGGCTGCCACCACCCAATGGTTGTTCAGCGACGATGTTCTCAGGACCCAGAAATATTTGAACGTAAGGTGGCCACCTTACGTCAATTGATCGGACGTCGTCAACACTGCAGCGCAACCGCTTCTCTTGCCTTCCTGCTACCCACTGCTTACCTCAGTCCACCTTAACTTCGCCGTCGTCCAGTACTTCCCCTCGCATCCCCACGTGATTCGCACCGCTTTATATTTACCTCCACTCGCGCACTTTAGAGAACTTAGACTTAAATAAGAAACAAATAATAACAAAATAACATAATATGTATACGGTATGCTACATCACCCCCCTTTTAAATCAAAAATGCAGTTTGGTTTAAAACTAATCTTAGCCAACTGGGTACTAAGCAGCACACTTATAATGTTTCAAATTGTATAAATTCTGAACCCCAAGGCAGGCTCCAGTACCGTCTTCGACCACCACAAATGAATTTGGCCCCTTAATTTCAGTCACGGTGCATGGGCCGCGATACAAGAGGAAAAACTTTTTAATTTCTTGATTTTCTCCAGATGACAAATTGTGAGTTCTTACTAACACCTTGTCACCCACTGAGATTTTCGTTACCTTTCTTGACTGAAGGTGACGTTGTTGTCGTTTCTCCGCCTTGGTTAATAGGTTTTTATAAGCTAATTGGATAATCAGATCCCGTGGAGGCAACTCTGACTCAGGGAACTCTACTGCCTTCAAGACTGGGTCAGTTGTTTTATTACCAAAGTGTAGATATTCTGGTGGAAAATTGGTACCTGAATGGATCGCCCGGTTTAGCCATTTTTGCACCAAGGGCAAAATAGTAGCCCACTTGGTGTGTTTACTATAACATAACGATCTTAACAAACGTCCTATCTCTCGATTCACCCGTTCAGTTTCGATGAAAAATCTTTTATTCATATCGGGATGTTGTAGCATTGACACATTTAAAAATGCTTCTTTTGCTTCTTCAAATGCCATCTTTTCTTCCACCCCCCATTTCCAAAGTTCACCCTTTCTGAGAAGTTTCACTAATGGAATTATTAATCGTGAATAACCTCGACAAAATCTAGCGTCGTAATTAATTATGCCTAAAAATGATTTTAAATGTCGCACGTTTCGCGGGGTAGGAAAATTTTAGATTGCCATAATACGATCCGGGTCCATTCTCACACCTTCTGACGATATTATATGTCCAAGAAAATTTATTTGTTTTTTTATAAAACTTGATTTTTTTAATTTAACAGTTACGCCGGTTTTTTTAAATTTACTAAATATTGTTTCCAAATGTTTAAAATGCATTTTAGGAGATTCGGAGTATATGACAAGGTCATCGACATAAGCGACGACCCATCCTTCAACATCAGGTCCTAATATAATATTTAAACCACGGATAAATGATGCCACCGAGGTTGCTAAACCAAACGGCAACACCGTAAAAACATACGTGTGGCCCTCATATAAAAAACCGGTATATTTCTGGTCATTCTGCCGTATAGGAATTTGCCAATAACTAGCCGTTAAATCTAATGTGCTCAAACACATTCCCTGAGAAAATTCAAATAGCAATTCCGACGAATTTGGCGGCATCACGTGATCATTTATCATGCGCGAATTTAAAAACCGAGCGTCTACACAAACACGCGCCGACTTATCTTTTTTTTTTACCACGACTAACGGACTAATATATTCTGTTTGGCAGGGTCGAATAACGCCCCAATTAAGCATTTCTTTGATTTGCCGCTTTACTTCATCGCGATAGACATACGGGATCGGATACGATTTACAAAAGAATGGTGAATAGTCCGAAAGTTTAATTTCGTGCGCGTAACAATCGATACGCCCTGGCTCGTCCGAAAAAATATCTTTATATTTCATTAATAATGTTTTTACACGATCTCTATTCGCTTCGTTAGGTTCATCACTCGGTGTAATAATTTTATCGATACCCTCGCATACGTTGTAAGAATTATTCGGTTTCTTTGGTTCTGTAAATTCCTCGTCTACAATTTCGCTAACAGTAATGTGTATACCCGGGTTCGGTTCACCTAAAAACTTAATTTGACGTCGTTTTCCATCGCAGCCGCTTTGTATTATGTTTTTAGAAAAATCGATAATTATTTCATTATCCTTCATCCAATCACATCCTAAAATGACATTTCTAGCTAGCCCAGGTATTACTAAGAATGGATATTCACACTGTATATTCCCTAAGTAAAAACTCAGATAGACTTGTTTATTTACCTTTGTTGATTTATCGCTTAAAGCCCCGGATATTGTAACACATTTTGATGGCATCTTAGGAATATCAGGATTGATTTTTACTAATTCGTTATAAAATGATTCGCTAATTCCCGTAATTTGCGATCCCGAATCGATTAGACATCTCGTTCTAATACTCTCAACCGTCATTTGAACTGTTGGAATTACCGCAATTTTTTTTAAATCAGGTTCGGACTCGCTTAAAATTTCTGCCGAATCGCGATTAAAAATAGTCGATACGTCCCTAGATGGCCCCGGTCGATTATTATTTTCACTCGCCCTGTTTCCCAAATATTCTATGTTATCGTTTCTGTGATCACTTCGACGTTCTCTATTATTATATTGATAATTAATCCGCGAATTTTGATTTCTACTTCCACTCGGTATATTGGCAGCGGCTTCCTCTAGCCTATCATTTTTACGTAAATGATTTTCGATATCTTCTATTGATTTATAACCTGAATTTAGGATACCGCGCTGAATATCCATAGGGAAATGGCTTACGGCTAAATCAATAATCTCATGATCGGTTAGATTTTCGCTTAAAAATTGAGCTTCCCGCACTATTTTTAGAAAATAGTCCGCCCTTGAACCTTTTTCATAAGTACCGAATTTAATTTTGTGAAAATTTTCACGTTCCTTTTCAGGCGACCAATATCTACCTAAAAATTGTCGCTTAAAATCGTCAAAATCAGTAAACTGTTTTATTTCGACCCAGTCTTGAGCAGAAGCTCTCATACAATTTACCGAAAAATAAAGTTTTTTCTTATTAGGCACACCCGATTCGTTTAGTAGTGCTTCTAATTTTTTTATGAACGCCACTGGGTGCATAGGCCCATTAGGAGAAAAATGTATATTTTGACCCCCCCAAGTCCTTCCAAACCGAAATATACGAGCGGTCTTCACGTGGGAAATCGTCCTGAAGCCCTCCCTGTGGAACCTGTACAAAATCGTTATTTTTCTGACCATTAGATTCGGCCAGGCGTACATTTAAAGTTGTTAATGTATTATTTACAGCGTTCATCTGTTCCGTTACATTATTTGTTACATGCGTTAACATATTTAAGTTTAGCGACAAAGATTCACTAAATTTTACATTAAATTGCTCAAAGGCTTTCGCTAACGTTTCCGTTAATCTATCGTCCATATCAACGGCAGACCCTTCGTTGGAGTCTTTCCTAACCTTACGTTTCGGCATTTGGTTTACTTAAAATAAGATATCACTCAATCAAGATCGAGCCACGAGTTGGGCGCCAAATGAATGTTTCGTTACAATTATAACAAGGGAAATGAGGTTCTTGGTCGCTTGATTGAAGATATTTATTAATAGAATAAAGCAATAATTACCACTCTAAGTGAATGGGAGGCGATTGTTAAATGAACAATAAACAATATGTGCCGAAAGTACATTGATAATAAACAAGGTTCGAACCGAAACGCACACAAGTCTGCGGTATTCACTACTCCGAGTGGAACGGACTTACGTGGGAGCGGTCGACGTTCCCTTGAAGGATCTTGAGGCGGTAGCAGGCTGCCACCACCCAACGGTTGTTCGGCGACGATGTTCTCAGGACCCAGAAATATTTGAACGTAAGGTGGCCTTCCACCTTACGTCAATTGATCGGACGTCGTCAACACTGCAGCGCAACCGCTTCTCTTGCCTTGCTGCTACCCACTGCTTACCTCAGTCCACCTTAACTTCGCCGTCGTCCAGTACTTCCCCTCGCATCCCCACAGCCGTCCCTTCGTGATTCGCACCGCTTTATATTTACCGCCACTCGCGCACTTTAGAGAACTTAGACTTAAATAAGAAACAAATAATAACAAAATAACATAATATGTATACGGTATGCTACACGGGATATCGATCGGTACTGCTCGGGCGTTCCTAAGGATCGGGTTCCAGATTTGGTTGAGTCTAAGGGTCTCCTCCTTTCGGTTGAAATTGTGAGGGTGTTTTTGAATCTCAATGGCTTCCCTGACTAGTCTGTTGTGATAGCCGTTGACCGATGCTAGTAACTTACAGCTCTCAAAGTGTATCCTGTGTTCCCCGCTGCCCAGTGCGTGTTCAGCCACTGCAGACTTCTCTGTATGTCCTAGCCTGCAGCTTGCTTTATGCTCCTTAAGTCTCGTTCCCATTGATCTCTTGGTAGTTCCGATGTAGACCTTTCCGCATGAACACGGAATGCGGTAGACTCCCGCAGCTGAAAGTGAGCCCCTCTTGTCCTTCGCTGACCTGATGGTCTGCTGGATCTTCTTTGTAGGCTTAAAGATTGTTTTGATGTCGTGTCTTTTCAATACTCTGCCAATCCTGTCGGTGACACTCGGAATATAAGGCAGATATGCGTGGGAGGTGGAGGGTCGTTGTTCGGTATCCCGTGATCCCATGAGTTACTAGTATCGGACAACGGCTATCACAACAGACTAGTCAGGGAAGCCATTGAGATTCAAAAACACCCTCACAATTTCAACCGAAAGGAGGAGACCCTTAGACTCAACCAAATCTGGAACCCGATCCTTAGGAACGCCCGAGCAGTACCGATCGATATCCCGAGACCAACCGAAGCGGAACAAGCCCCGCCCTCCACCAATCGGCATAAATACAACCTGCGCAGGAGAAATCGTCAGTCTACGTCCAACATCGGAGATGGAAGGACCTCTGAAGAAGCTCGCCACTCGTGCTAGCGAAACGTTAGGAAGTAATTCCAATCGACGACGGCCTTTAAACCCGAATGAAGATAATAGCTTATCAACGGGCCGCGAAAGCCTTAACCAATTTGTCTTGTAGTGTTTCACCACCAACGGTTATGTTGGTTATAGAAGAGGATTTACTTTTATGGTTGCTATTTTCCCTGACTATTGCCCAACTTTCCCTACTTATGTTATCAGATTTCATTAACCTTAAATTGTGGTGAGTTTTCTTTGCGTGTTTAAGTTTTTTGTTGTAATGGGATTTAAGTCCTTTATATTTAGATTTATTTTATATATAGATCATTTTTTATTCTTTTGTTTACTTGTTGCATCTCGTGTACCGCACGACTCAGCTCTCTTAATTCTCTATTAAACCAATTGGTTTTTTTCCTGTACGAGACTTTTCCTTTTTTTGTAAATGGAAAACATGACATAAATATTGGTTTCAGTTTTTCGTAAAAAGTGTTAAATTTTTTATCTAAGTCATCAGATTGAATATCGTAGAACAAATTATTCCAATCTGTGTTGGATACCAAATCTATAAAGGAATTTACATTATTTTCGCTAAAGTTTCTGAAAAAGCGTTCTGTACAATTATTATTGCAGAACTCCTCAAAAAAGAAGAGCTGAAACGTGTGGTCAGAGACACATGTGTCTACTGCCAAGCTTTTTAGTCCGGTAAAGTCGACGAAAATATTGTCAATGCATGTTCTAGAATGATAAGTTATTCTGGTGGGCTCTTCTATAGAAGCAACTAAATTATACTCAAGAAGTATATTTTTTAGTATTTTAGTTTGTTTGTTGTTTTCAAGCAAGTTGACGTTAATGTCACCGCACAAAATGTGCTTATTTTTAGGTTCGTATATAGCTTCGAACATTATTGAGAGTTTCTCTACAAATGCTTCGAAGTCTCCCTTTGGAGATCGGTATACAGAGAAAATTGTGACACATTCCTTGTTAAGCTCTAATTTTATTGAACACATTTCAAAACTTTTTTCTTCAGAGTTATTAAACGGAATTTTTGAAAAATTTAAACTTTCTCGACCCAAGATACAGACTCCCCCTCCTCTGCAACTAGTTCTCGAGAAATAACTAAGAACCTTATAATCTAAAAGCTTAAGAAACTTAATGTCTGAGGATTCATGATGTTCTGAGATACACAGGACATTGACGTCGTGGTTATTTAGTATTGATTCGAGGGCTTCTTTTTTGTTTGTGATACCTCCTTGAATATTAAGGTTCATAACTACGAATTTGTTAGGTGTCTCACCGTCTGGTTTAAAAAATCCTCATTTTTTGAGTCGTATTTACTGGCGCTGTTTTTTGCATTTTTCTTGGGAAAGAAATATCTGCTTAGTCTTGCACCTTGCGGCCATAGGTCTCCGTTTAAAATTGCATCTTTGTGCGTGAAAGGGGCACATATTTTAAAGGAACTCCACTGTTCGTTGTGGTTAAAGTTAAGTTTTTCACAGTTTATTCTACAGATACCAGATAAGTTTTCTTCAATCTGTATTGATGTTGTGGATTTATCCAACCTTGTTACATATATCGAAGCTTTCTTCTCAACTCCTTGTATTCTACTTATTGTGTTTGTTCCTTCTATAAAAGTTCTGTTTCTTCGCCGTATCGGCTGGACTAATTGAAATCCATCGTCATCTTGCTTGTTGTTATTGTCTGTGTTAGGCCAGGTAGTTGTCTTTAATTGACCGATGTCGTCCTGAAGTTTCATAAACATCGTAGAAATTACACTAGTGCTAACATTACAGCTATCGCAGAGCCATTTGAGATTTGGTGTTTCTAGCACCACTACAATTAATTTTTATATCGTTTGCCAAAATTTCCTGCGAACAGGATCCGCACTTTAGCGGTACGTCTGAACTCGTTCGAAGTTCCCCTGTATTTTGGATAACCAAAATTCGCTAAGACTATTGTCCCAAAACGACTTTCAAACAATACTCTTTCATTGTTCCCTTTTGACGGACCATTATTTTTAAAGTGACGTTTAAAAAGAATATGTGGAAGATAAGGCAATTCTCAACACGGCCGGTAAGAAAAACTACTCATTACTGGTGCATCTCAAATGAAAATCGTGTAAAAGAAATTAGGTCACAGGCTCGAAGAAGAGTTTATGTGTGATGTGGTATTATCCGTGATGGAATAATAGGCCCAGTATTTTATTACTTTGTTCTGAATGGTAAGAAATATTGAAAATTGTAGAGAGAACTATATATTTCCGTTAAGTGATAATCCGTTGGACTATATTAAAGAAGAAATTGTTTTTCAATAACATAGTGAGCCATATCAAAGTCCTGATTTGACACCTCTGTACTTTTTTATGAAGCTACATAAAAACGAAGTGTATTACAATAGGTGTAACAGTGTTCAAGACTTAAAAATGATAATTAGACAAGAAGTAGAAAGAGTTAGAAATGCTATTGCCAAATGAGTGTTTTATGCTCTGCCGTAGAAGCGAAGCATAAGCTGAAGAAATGTATTTAAATAAATATCCGGAAAGACGTCAACAGGGTAGAGCTATGTTTAGACGTTTCAAAGACACCCTTGTCACCTATGGGAGTTTTGCTTAGGTACACTGATTGAAGAGACAACAAGCTTTGCTCGGTCAACAGCGAATACTATTTTAAAGCATCACAGTAATTATCTTAATCGTGATCAGCCTTGCCAGGGACTTCAGGATGGCAATATTATTGGCATTGCTTTATTCAGAAAACTAACCAGATACCAAAGTTTTTCCTCCTTTGGTCAAATGAGTGCCCATTTACTAATTGTGGAATCTTTAATCGTAAGAAGACTGCATTTTGGGCAGATGTAAATCAAATCGAAATCAAGTGAGGCGGGGATTTAACTTCACAGATTATTAAGAACTTTTTAAATGCAGAAACAGGTGGATGGGCAACCTGGGACCACTGAGGTGGATTGAAAGAAGCTGTTGCAGAAGATGAAAACAGTATCATTCAAATGTTAAGTCCTGTCCTGAAAAAACACATATTTCAAAGACCTGTTTTTCAGCAAAAAGGAAAAGTTCATTTTTCTCAAAAACCACTCAAAATGAATATTGATTTAAAAAATGTGGTTTTGGTTAGTGGGTGTGATGGTAAAGATCTCTGTTTTTAGCATTAAATGAGGGACTTTGTGTTTTATGGATTTTATATAATATTATAGATATATAAATGTTTGTATTTAATTGACTGAACATTATAAATATATAGAATAGTGCTACAGGCTGTCCTTAATCCTTATTTCGCCAGTTTTCGATGTCCATTTCCCTTAGATTTTGAATAGCACCTTTTTCGCGGACGGCCTCTCCGTCTTCTTCTTCCATCCGCTCCCTCCATATCCTTTCTGTCCAACTTTCCTCCATCATCCGCACATGCCCTAACCAGCCTAGCCTTTGTTTCTTTACTTCTCGTGTTATATCTGGTTGTCCGAATAGCATTTGTACTTCCGCGTTAGTTCTTCTTCTCCATTCCGTTTCGTTTAACACCTCAACAGATTTTCCCAGATCGCTAATTTCTGTTCTTCTTTCCTGTTCATCACCCAAGTTTCAGCGCCGTACATTACTGTTGGTCTAATCATTGTCTTATAAATTCTTATCTTGACTGCTCTTGTCTTTTTATTTAAAGCACAAGTCGTTTTAAAGTGACTCCAAAATACTCAAATTGATAAACATTTTCGAAGCTGTAAATGTGAGATAATGCTTCACTGGAATTTTTGTGACGGTCCATTTTGCAGGTATTTTTTCTTTTTTTCATTAATCATCAAACCATAATGCTTTATACTTTTTTCATCAAACCATAATGCTTTATACTTTTTTCGAGGTCTTTAAATATAATTTCTTGCTCTGTCCTGGGTCTTGCTATGAAGACTATATCATCTGCGTATCATCTTCATAGATTGTTCTTTTTATATCGATTCTGCTATCTCTATGTACAACTCCCAAAACCAAATGAAAGAGCGAAGTTTACACCGGGTCTCTCTGTCTCAGACCTCTAACTTTTTTTTTTTTTTTTTTTTTTTTTTTTTTTTTTTCCTCGAGGGGATTAGGAAATCTGCAAACAGACACCTCGCCTGTTGTTCTGGCGGTCGAGGTAGTGTCGGGGTGGTGTCCTTGTCAATAGATCACCGACCGACTAAAACCCTTCCCCCTCGTTTTCATACCCCAGGTTAGTGGGATCGTCCTAGCGGACATGCTTCACTAGCCCGGTTGTCACCCCTATGTTTTATCCGTCTCCTCCCGCAAGTTCTACACTCTTCGACTTCATGATATCAATAATGCATTCCTGTATTGCTCCCCACTTTTCGGCCGTGTCCAGCATGCCTTCCACCACGCTCGCCGGCGTCAGAGCTTCTGTCTCTCTCCCGAGGGTTTCGCATATCCGCAGTCTCTGCGAGGTCCAGCGTGGGCAGCTGATCAGCGTGTGCTCTGCACTGTCCTCTCTATCACAGTATAAACATTTAGTGTCGGTTTTGCCTAGTCGATTAGTGTAGACCTTGAAATGGCCATGTCCGGTAAGTACTTGTGTAAGATGGTAGTCCAACTGCCGGTGCCTGCACCTCCTCCATTTGTCTATGCTTGGGATCAGTGCTCTGGTCCATCTCCCCACGGTGGATGCTTCCCATCTGCTTTGCCATTCTTGGTTCGTCCGCTCCTTCGCCCTTTGCTTTGCACCTGGGCCTCTGCCTTCTTGGGCAGCGTATCTCCTCTCCTCCACTATTAAATCCACAGGGGGGAAACCCGTTATAACCTGGACTGCTGCGCTGGAGACCGTTCTGTAGCCGCACGCCACCCTCAGGAGTGCTTTTCTTTGAACGCTTTCCAGTATTTTACGGTAGGTCTTTATCCTCATTACAGGGCTCCATATAGGTGCGGCATACATAATTGTGGACTGCACTACTCCATACAATATCCCCCTCTTTTCCGTATTTGGACCTTTGTAGTTTGGCATTAGTCTTGCGACTGACGCTAACTTCTTGGTTGCCTTTTGCGAGACCACTCTAACATGCTCCCCGAAAGAGATGTTTTCACCAATCAGGACGCCTAAATATTTTATAGCCTTAGCTGGCTTGATTACCTGGTCATTTACATTAATCTGGATATCCTGTCGGTTCCTGCGTCCACTCAGAATGACCGCCTCCGTCTTTTCCACAGCTAGTTCCAGAGTATTTGCCTGCAGCCACTTTACGACCTCCTGGAGCGCATGGTTTGCATTTAGAGTCAGTTCTTGTTTGTTTTGACCTTGTACTACTATGGCTACATCGTCAGCATAGCCTACGACGCTGGCCCCTGGGCCAAACTCCAATCTCAGTATATCGTCATAATATACATTCCATAGTAACGGGCCCAATACAGATCCTTGGGGGATTCCTGCGGATACTTTTTTCTTCTGTTTTCCAAACAGTATGACTCTATCGTCTAAGTAGTCTCTAACCAAGTTGATTAGGTATTGTGGCAACCTATTTGTTCTTAGTTTTTTAAGGAGTATCGCCCACGATGCCGAATTAAAAGCGTTTTTCACGTCAATAGTGATTAGCATACACCATCTTTCGCCTTTTCCTCGGAATTTTACTCCCTCTGCCAGGATCATCACCGCGTTTATTGCGTCTAGGGTGGACATGCCTTTTTTAAATCCATATTGATTTGCCGATATTTGTCCATTTTTTGCCAGTTCTTTTTCCAGTCTGTCCTTTATAAGGTGTTCGTACAGTTTAGCGATTGAGTTTACCAGGCACAAGGGTCTATACGAATTTGCGAGCTCAAAAGGTTTACCACTTTTGTGGATCAATACCACCTTTGTTAGTTTCCATGAAGTGGGGAATTCCTGTCTTATCAATAAGTTATTATAAAGATCCCGCAGTATTGTCGGCTCGCCTTTTGCCAGTATCTTGATTACCTCCGGTGGAATACCGTCTGGGCCCGGCGCTTTCCTCACTTTTAACTTGGCTGCTGCTGTGGCTATTTCTTGCGTGCTGAAGAGCGGTATCTCGCTTGTGTATATGGGGGTCAGCAGAATCTCGCTCCTGTCAGGAAAAAGTGTTTCCACTATCTGCTTCAACCCAGAGTCGGGAAGTGTAAATGGAGGACCAGCCTCTGTGAAGTTTTTCTTTATTATCTTATACCCTTCTCCCCAGATGTTATCGTTTAGCTCTTCCAGTAGTAGTCGCCACCTTTTCTTCTTTTCTTTGGAGATCATTTTCCTCAGTCCGTTCCTCACCTCTTTGTATACTTGCCACATTTCTGTGAGTAAGCCATTTACCTCCCTTGTGCTCCTATGTCTTGCTGCCCTGGTGTAGACTCTCCTTTTCGCTATGCACTCCTTTCTTTTGTTTGCAATATCCTCGTTCCACCAGTACGGTACCGTTGACATTGCTGCGCCCCCTTTCTTAGATTTTTTAACTGCTTCTTTGAGCATTTCCTCCAGTGAGAGCGGATCCAGCGGCATCGTTTTGCATGTGATAGTGAGTTTTTCTCTTAAGTTAGTGAGTAGTCTATCCTGGTCCAGATACAGTTTACGTCGCATTTCCATCTTTTTTGGGGTATTGTCTTTCACTTCGAAAAATATGTACTTATGTGGGGAAAGGGACTCGTTTTCGAGGACCTCCCAGTTACTAACCCTAGCTGCAAGATTTCGTGTGGAAAAGGTAATATCTATATAGGATTTCTGCTGCCTTCTTTCGAATGTTGGTATGCCTCCCTTGTTGTGAGCTACCAGTCCAACTCTGGCACACGCTTCCGACAGTACCTGTCCCCTCCTGTCCATAATCGGGGATCCCCATTCCGGAGACTTCGCGTTGAAGTCCCCAAGAACAATACACTCTCTGTTACTGGCAGCAATCAGGTCAGCAAGATTATCAACATACCGCTCGTACTCTTGTAAACCTATATTAGGTGACACATAGCAGCCATATATATTGAATTTATCTGCTTCCACCATCACTATTCCGTCCTCTCTTTTGGTTCTACTAACTTTGACATCTTTATTCATGAAGTATACCGCCACATCCAATCTCTTGTCAACCGTCCATCTCTTGTTTTTCACAATTCTTTTATTTGGTTCACTTGCAACTATAATATCTACGTTCTTCTCGTTCGCTGTTAAGAACGCCAAATCATGGGACCCTTCAGACCTGTCAGAGTTTATTTGTAGAAACTTCACTATGTTTACTGTAGGTTAGGTCCTCCGTCCCTGTATTCCCACGCATTACGCCTTCTTTTGGACGACAGTGCCCTGCGGAAGACTTTACAGCTACCCGTACCGGCCCTGTGTCCTTTCTCCTGACATAGAGGGCACGCCTCTTCTAGGCTACAGTTTTGGCTGTTGTGACCCGTTGTCCCACATTTATAGCAAAGTTCCCTCCTATCAGGTCCCGTGCACTCATATGCGCGATGCTCGTATGACCAACACTTGAAACACCTCTCTATATTTAAACGTGGTTCTAGTCTGCACCTTACAAGCCCTATTCGCAGTTCCTTATGTTTGCTGAGTAGCTCCTCCGCCTCTTTGTCCTGTATCATTAGCGTGACCGCCTGTGTATCTCCAGCCCCTGGTCTAAGTTTAGATAGTCGGAGATCGCTTGTTTTAAGATTCCCGACTTTGGACTCGATGGCTTCAACAACCTCTTCCTCCGTTGCAGTGGCATCCAATCCTCTTATATGTATCGCTGTAAGTGATGATCTCTCCATTCCAATAATATTTGTCTTTATGCTGGTTGATAACTCTTGTATCTGCTTTTGAGCTTCTGACAACGCCACCTCGTCCTTTTCCATTACTATTAGCAGTTTGCCGTCTTTTGTCTTCCTTATGTGTTTTATTTTTTCACTTGCCTGTGTATTTATTAATTTGGCCTTGATTTCTCTCAACGTTTCTTTATAGTCCTTGTGTTTGTGTTGCACCATCAATGCGTACGTTGGTCGTTCTTTTCTATTATTTGTTGGCTTGTTTTCCTGAGTTTCTTCTACTCTGCCTTTAGCTTGATACACTTTCGTGGTGTATATTACCACGTTAGTTAACGTCCTCCTGAATATCGCTTCGGTCATCTTTCTCATTTTATCAAGGTGTAGATTATTTAGATGATGAAGGGCAACCCATTCGTCGTGCTCTGTCTCCTTCCGTAGCTTCATCAGTACGTCCCAGAATTTTTCTTGTTCTGCCTCTATTTGTATCTTGATGATCTTTTGTCCAGTAGTTGGCTCCTCCCTATCCGATTTAATCCTGGTTGTCTGTTCCATCACTACAAATTCACCTTCAACGTTGGCTAATTCTTGGTAGCGACTTTTGTATTGTGACTGTATACTTCTCTCCAACTTAGGGTCGGAAGGTTCGACGAAGACTACTTTGACCGTTGACGCTTTAGTATATAACGGATTTCCGACCTTTATTTCAGTGTGTTCAAAAACTTCTTTTGGCCAGTTGTGCCCTTCAATTTCCTTGTATTCGTTATAATTTCTTATCGAGTCGAGTTTAGAGGCCGTTATGTATTCAGGCTCTTGCCCTGTCTGGGTCCCTATGGTTTGGGTATGTGGGTTGATTCCATTTCTACGAACACTTGTCCCATCCGGGATTTGGATCAGGGCTTCCGTGTCAGTTTGCACCTCCTGCTCTCTTGACTCAGACTGCACGGTTTGTATATCGGCATCAAAAGTCATACAGTCTACGGGTTTATATTTTCTATCTTGGATCCATTCCCACAAGGTCCTTCTGCTGAGGATATCCCTCTGCTTTCCTAATTTCGACGTAGTCTCTTTTATTTCCCTTTTTGTGTTCGGGTTCTGCTCCACCGCTCTGGTCAGATTTCTAACCAAGCGGTCCACCTCCTTCAGGGCTGCTGTAAGTTCGAAGGCAATCGGGCATGGAGTCCTTTTTGTGGTGTCTTCTTGCATGTATCTCCTGTGTTCTTCTTCACTCTTTCTTTTCCGTCCATCCGTTTCATTCTCGTTGGAAATAGCTCTGCGAATTCCTGGTCTTAATAGTCCTTGTAACAGTCTATCTTCCTCCTTAGATAATTCTAGCGAGGTCATAGAACTCCTTCTCTCTTGCGGTCTGTGTGATTGGCCCCCCCCAGAATCCATGGGGCCGGCGCCGACCACCGGGGCTTTCACCCGATCGGAATCAGCGGTGAGATTTACACTCACCTGGGGTACTAGTTGTTTTGTTTTGTCACACATCATGTATTATGTTTTGTTCCGGGTCCATGGCCAGTTCGTCGTCGTAATCCTATCGGCTGGGGAATGGGGTAATATATTTAGGGGACACTCCTAGTATTCGGATATCCTAATAGCGTTGGAGCGGGATCATTAGAAGGGATGTGGGGGTATTGGGGGGAAACTCCTTCTCTGGGTCCAGAAAGAGCCCAGCTAGGGTGCCTCGGGGTTGCCACACCCGTACTCACAGTGTGAGCCCCTGAGGACCTCTAACTACATTAAAACGATCCGACAAGTGGCTACGAACCCTGTTCTCTGTATTAGTCAAAGTTATTTTAACCAATCTGCCGATGCAATCATAAGCTTGCTTAAAGTCTATGAATAATAAATGGAGATTTAGGTTAGACTCTGCTGTTAGGCTGAATCATTTTGAGGGTAAAAATTTGATCCTTCCTCCTCTACTACCGGGTACCCTATTACTCTTTCCTGAATACTCGTGAGCCTTTTCTTTGGGATCTTTACGAATATTTTACAGACATCTAGTAACGCTATGCCTCTATAATTATTACAGCCAGACTTATCTCCTTTTTGTGTATCGGGAAGATGACAGCATTTCCCGATGAACTTGGCATTTTTTGTTTCTCACATATTTGCTTCATTAATCCCGTAACACGCTCCCTCAGCAATTCATATTTTCCCATCCTGTATTTTAAAGCCTCTCCTGGAAATCTATTCTCTCCTGCACTTTTATTATTTTTCATCTCAGTGATGATCTGTTCGATGTCTGTTGGACGTGCTGCTAGTAGTTCCTTATCCACCTGGCCTTTTGCTAATTCGTAACTGTTGTTTCTATCTTCGCTATCTTCGGTAACATTTTCTAAGAGATCTTTAAAATATTCTTGCCATCTAACCAATTTTCCAGCTGTATCTCCTATTAGACCTACTTCTTCGCTCTTGCAAAACTGTAGTATTGTGCCTTTACTTTGTTTAACCTCGGGGTAAAAATTAGGTGCTCTTTTCTTTCCTCTACATATCGTCTTTGTCGTTTTCCGTTCTTTTTGATGTGCTCTTTTATTGTCTTCGATTGATTCCTCAAGCACAATTTCTCCGTTTTTGAGACTTTCTTTCCAGTCGTCGTCAAATCAGCCCCTCTTAACCCCAGCCTTCACATGATCGAATTCTTTTTGCAGCACTCCTTCAATGTTATCTTCTTATTCCACCCAATCATTTTCTATGTGATCCGTTCTTTGCATGCTGCTCAACTTTTCCGTCATTTCTATCCCAAAATGTTCAGCCAAAGAATTAGCCTTCAGTTTTTCAACGTTGTACTTGGTTCACTTCTCTTAGTGGCACGAGTCTTCTTGGTTTTAGAAATTTCTTGCTTCAGCTTGATGATTAAGGGTACATACATAGTCAGTATCTGTATCGGCCCCTCTGTAACTTCTGTCTTTTACTGCACTTACATTTTTTTTCCTCTTTTAGCAGATGTTGCCCCCTATATGGTTAGTTAAGGCAGCACAAAATTTAAAAATAATTTATTTATTCTAACCTATTTCATGGATTGGATTATAGATCATCAGAATGTATAGGAGACCAGTTTTTGGAAAATGATTTAATTAATCAAATAAGCAAAGCGTCTTTACGTGTTCCATTTTATAGGGAAAATTGTCCAAATATATAATTACCACCACAACCAGTAACAACTCCCTGGGAAACTTTGTTAACCGCTGCTGTATTTTATGCCGCGAACTTTGAATTAGTTAAAAAAGTTATCAAATATCTAAACAACTCATCTTCTGTCGCACTAATAAATGCAAAAACTGTTTTTTCTAACCCGCCAGTGAAAAAAAGTTTTATAATTATAGAATTAAATTATTCTTTTGTACCTATAGCACTCACGAAATTGGAGGCTACCTCTGTTTCTTTGACAAATTCAGTGGCTTTAATAAATCAATTTGAGGTAGAGTGCGAAAACTTTTTAGATACTGTTGACATTGTTGACGGTGCAGTCTTTATAGGCAATTTCACTAATTTTGAAAGAGAACTGGATTTGTATAAATTAGAAACATGCAAAACTATAATACTGTCCTAAAATTTCTGTAGATGTTGAGCAAAGTTTTTCCATCTTTAAATAATGTTTACGGATAACAGGCACAATTTTCTTTTGGGAAATTTTGAAAAACATTTAGTTATGAATTGATCTTAAAAAATAGTTGTATGTTGTGGAAGTTGCTATTATCTGAATGTATCCATGGTATTGTTAAATTATTAATTGTAATTATAACTTTTACTAAAATCGCAAATAATATTTTCTCGCTGTAAGATTTTGATGTTTTGTGTAAGTGTGTATGTAAGTCTGCATCTATAAACAAAAAGGTTTTATTATTATTTTTTTTTGCTTCGTGTATATTTATTCAAATAGGTCCGTCGTATATGTAAAAAATGATAGGATTTCTGAAGAATATAAAAATAATATTGTTATTCAGAATTTTTCATGAAATAAAAATGCATATTTGCATTTTTTGTTCATATGTATTCATATGTTCCCCAAAATTGTATGCATAGGTTAGGTGCGGGCAAAAGTCCGCCTTTTTGATTTTAGAAATGTTAAAATGTTAGGGCGCATTTGCCCACAGGTATAAACTTAAAATGCATGTCACTATTTGTCCAGGGTTAGAAGTTGTCCAGTTATCAAACAAATCATATCATATTATGGTTTCAGTTGCCTGAAGAAGTTTCTGTCCAGCGGTTATGTTCCGTGGCTGCTATATGGTGGAAGGCTCAGCAAATGGATGTGATTATTTTTCGCATAACTAATTACTTGCGGAGTGGTTTGAGAAATATGGTTATAAAATCATAACAAAATAGGGCTCTCTTGGGTGGGATTTGTATATTTCCGAAAATTCTCTAAATATTCAAAAAAAATCAGTAAATTCATACATCCAGAGTCCATACAGCCAAAGCAGATATAATGGAGCTTCCTTTATCAATAGAGGATTACTTTCTTTACCTGCAAAAATAAAGGATGGTGGAACATAATGCCTCGTTGCACTCATGACACAGGCGACTGTCACATTTTTGGCTACCTTCTCTTTTACTAGTAGAAGCAACATGTTTAGGTAATTTATTTGGGATAGTCTAAAAACCGCTGTCAACCATATTGTAAATCCTGTTAGATCGAAAAATTTTAAAAATATTAAAACAATTGCTGTTTATTGTCCTAGCTACGCTAGCTGCAGATCTTTACCACATGCGGATCTTTACCCCCCACCTACCCTATATATTGGGGTTTTTAAATTGAATTTTTTTTCACTCCTTAGTTATGTAATAAGATCTAACTGAGGGATATGAAATGTAAATGTTTTTTAGTTTACCTAAATAAATATAGATTTGAAGTTTTGCATAGTCATACAGATTTATGCTTCACAGTTTTTAAGATACTCAACTGAAATTTACATTATAAATGTGGCCGAATCCACAAACCGAGTTTTAAAGAATTTGTAACAATACGAAACAGGGGCTATATCAATACAATTAATACAATACTCAGCATAGAACCAAACTTATTTTATTATTTATTAGGCATTGCGTCTATTTTCTATATTACGAAATGGTTTATCCTTTGAATTGTGAATGGATGCACCATCTAGCTAGAAATACATATCGTTTTTTAATTCGGTGATTTCCAAATACAACTGAATGTAATAAACTAAAATCTAAAAAATAAATAATAAAAAATAAATTTATAATAATTTTCTGTAAGTATTGACCACAATAATGAAACAAATAAAAATTCGAATTTTATCATGAAATTTGGTATGTGGGATTGGAATAATATTCTGAACAACTTTTTCAAATAACTTTCTTATATTTCTTACGCTAAGCAAAATATCGAAAATTGACATTGTTTGTGGATTCGCAGTAGACCGCGTTTAAAATTTCAGTGAAGTATTTTAAGACATGTGAACTCTCAACATGACTATGCAAAACTTTCAAAATGCCAATGCCAAAATGTAGGGGTGTCTTCACCTTAAATTCAACACACTGTATTAATTGTAAACTCGATACACAGGGTCTGTAAAAATTAGCTGTTATTTGTAAGAGAAATTTGCGTTTACTTAATCTGAAAAATGAAAACAATTGTGACAAAAAATATAATTAACCCCCGAAAAAAATTAGAAAAATAAAACATAAAAACTACTGCAAAAAATTTTGCAACCATTTTTGTTGAAATCGACTTTTGAGAACAGTCCGGAATTTTCTTTTTACCTGGTTACCTTTATAAATGTCTCGCATTGGCACGACGCCGTAGACATTATAGTAATCCTGCAGTCGCATGGTGAAGTCGGTTTTGATTACAAACTCCAGCAGCTCGTATTCTGGCAAGTATATTTTATATTCCTTCCCGGCGGTGAATTCGGATGGAGAGACGTAGCTTAACGACGAAAACGACTTCGGATAAAATATGGCGGAACCGCCGCTCGACATCGTATTTACTGTGATTATATCTCCCTGAAAATGTTGATCAACGTGATAATGTACATCGCAATATACAACGCGAATACTTAAGTTGAAAGAAATTGAGTAGAACAGATTTTTTAAAATAATATTTATTATTTTTTAAAAATAAGAATCAAAATTCAACTCAAAACATTCGTCGAAAATTTTGTGAAACTTTCTAATTGCAATAGCTATTCAATACACTACCAAAATTAGTCGATACTGATTTTATTTTTTTATTCAATTTTGACAAGTCTTGTACAATTTTTCAAAGAAACTTCCACAGGCTACTGTAAAACTTTTTACAAAACTTCTGGATTCTTCCTGCGTCGATTTTTGGCTGAGTCGAACTTGCGCGGTTAAGATTGTTAGGTTGTTTATAGATTTCTATAGACTTGCGGATTTTTCGTTGGTAGAAGAACTAATTACATGCAAGAATTTTAGTTTTATCGAATAAAATTTTATGTCCGGTTTCATGAGTGTGTTCGGCAACAGCTGATGAGTTTATTTGTTTTAGTCGTAAGGCTCTTTCGTGTTCTTTGAGTCTAGTTGATATTTTTGGTCCGGTTTCTCCAATGTATTATTTGCCGCATATGCATGGAATGCTGTAAACTCCTGGTATCTCAAATGGAATTTTGTCTTTGACGGACCGAAGATGTCGAGAGATTTTTGAGAATTCGTAAATCTAGTTTTGACGTTATATTTCTTTAGAACTTTTGATATGTGGTCAGTGATATTTTGAATGTAAGTGGCAAGTTGATGACGCTTAATATCTTTAATGTGGAAATTATTAGAGGGAAGAGCAGATGTAAGATGTTTTAATTCTGGGTTCAGTGACTCTGGCTGAGTAGTTTTACAGCTCTGTAAACAAGAGAGTTGATAACCGATGATTTTTGTGCCGGATGGTGATGTGACGATGCTGTGTGCATAGGTTTTCTGTAAACACAATGACTTCCATTGATAACAATTTCTAAGAATGGAAGGTTATTATTAGTTTCCAACTCAATGGTTGGGATGTATAGAGTTTAAATGTCTAAGAAACCCTAGTAGATAGACAGAAAGCTCTCGACACCTTTCATCTAAAACCAAAATTATGGAAACGCTACGTCTATGAAACTTTCGTTATTTGGCCCCATGGTCAAGAAACCCTAGTAGATTTTCTTAGACATTTAAACTCTACACAATCTAACATACGTTCAACCATTGAGTTGAAAACTAATAATAACCTTCCATTCTTAGATTGGGTGATTGTGTTTACAGAAAACCTACGCACAGAGACGAATACCAATAAAATGATCGGTTATGAACTCTCTTGTTTACAGACCCGTAAAACTATCTCAGCCTGAACCCAGAATTAAAACATCTTACCTCTGCTCTTCTCTCTAATAATTTCCACATTAAAGATATGAAGCGTTCCATCAAAAAATACACTTCACCAAAAACTTCCAATAGCAATGAGGCCGAAAGCAATCCTACACTTGCCACTGTGGTCCTTCCTAACATTCAAAGCATCACTGACCACATATCAAAAGTTCTAAAGAAGTATAACGTCAAAACCAGATTTACCACTTGTCCAAAAATCTCTCAACATCTTCGGTCAGTCAAAGACAAAATTCCATTTGCGATGCCAGGAGTTCCATGCATATGCGGCAAAGAATATATTGGAGAGACCGGACGAAAAATATCAACTAGACTCAAAGAACACGAAAGAGCCTTACGACTAAAACAAATAAACTGATCAGCTGTTGCCGAACACACTCATGAAACCGCACAAAAAAATTTATTCGATAAAACTAAAATTTTTGCATGTAATCAGTTCTTCTACCAACGAAGAATCCGAGAGTCTATAGAAATCTATAAACAATCTACAACAACTAAACAATCTTAACCGCGACTCAGGTCTCTACCTGTCACCAATATGGAAATCAGTCATCCGAGATGGCCCTCATTTAGCTCCGCCCCATCAATCAATATATAAGCAGGTACAGAGTAAAATGCGAGCCAGTTTCAGTCAAGCTCTGAAGAAGCCAACAGGATGATTGGCGAAACGTCATCAAGTTCGACTCAGCAAAAACCGACCCAGGAGGAATCCAGAAGTTTTGTAAAAAGTCTTGTACAAATTGAGAGTCCCTATTCTGAGTACATGCTCGGCAGCATATACTCTTTACCAGAATGATCTGAGCGTGGAATAAATAATAAATAGTATAGTCTGTGAATGGTAATGTGTCACACAGTTTTAGCTTTCAGTAATTTTAATCGTTATTTTGGACGAAATAAGTTTTCCGTTCTATTCAGTTTTACGCGGAGTGACTGGTTTAACTTCACTACGAACCTAAACGGACAAGATATCAAACACAATTATGAATATTTAAAACAAAATTACGAAGCACTCAGACGACAAAATTTTGCAATAAAAGAGAGTAATTACTTAAGATCCTTCTCATAGAACCACAAAATCACAAATATATTTAATAGGGAACTTGACTGTTTTTTTTTTTTATTTTACTAAATTGTGTGTTTACATATGAAAACACATTATACCAAATATGAACCCTTAAATCGCAATACTTATTTCCTAATAAATAATTAAAGTTGGAATCGCCGCCGGGCATATTCAGAATAAATCAAAATGCGCGGCCGCCGGTAAACATAGTCTGTCTCATCTGCCCGGAGTTATGAAAGTAACCTGTGACAGCAATAACATTCGGGTCCGATAGGTATTAAAGGACAGAAAATTAGGGACGGAGTCTCAAAGGTTTTGGTAATAATACATTTTGTTTGTTTATTTAGGTCTATATATCTATACATAATTACATTTTTATTCTAAATGTCTGAATCTAATTCTATTTCACTATCGTAAGTGTCAAGTAATTATAATAGGATTTATGTTATTTTGTAGAGAAATGTAAGAGTTCTCAATTTTTATAATGTGCTATTCTGAATTTTTCCAGCTCTCATTTGGTGTGTTATTAATTACATTAATTACATTACAATATTTTCTAGTCTGATCTTTGATTTTACTTGGTTAAACAAATGCTCTATGGGGTTAAATATGCAATGATATGGAGAAAGACGTAAAACAATATGCCCAGCCTGTTACTGGGAGTATTTTTTAAAAGATTGTTTTAAAACCAATTTTCAGCGCTTTTATCTTCATGATATTCCAAGCTAGAATCCTAAATATTCTTTGCAGACAACAACTAGCAGTTTGACACAAATCTGTCTTCTGACCCAGCGTATATTATGGTGATTTCCTCTATTGGTAGGTATTTTCGTCTGACAATTTTGAGTACAATCAACCCAACCCAACCAACCCATCGTAAGTATAGAACCATGTTTCATCAGAGTAAATTATCGATCTGTTGTCGAATCCATATCTTTTAATTTCTTGAAGATAATTAAATCTCCAAGTTCGTAATATATATGATTCCATTACTTCCTTTGTCAATATCTCTGCCTTGTCACTCAAGTAAGAACAAATTTTTTGTTAATGGCTTTACCCAGTGACAATAGGTAATAACATCCTTAAACTTTTATTGGGGAAAGCCAACACGATGAAGATTGAAATAGGCTATACGCGGCACGTTACTAGTATAACAGCCACTTCAAGTATTTCTGATTGATTTCTTACCAAATTTGTGTCGTTAGTCTCGGTTTTTAAGTGTTTAAAAATTTTTGTATTTACTATTGGAACTATCCGTAATAAATACTAGGCCATTCCTTTATGTACGAGTTCAACTGTGAAAAATCCAGATAAAATGTTCATTCCGGTACTTGAAGATAAAAAGCGACGAATAAATTGGATAAAAGAAGGCGGAAGAGGTGTAGGGGATTATTCTACGAAGAGCACACAACACACACACACACACATATATATATATATATATATATATATATATATATATATATATATATATAAATATATATAATCAACAGAGAATAAGAAACGGAAATATATTTGCTTGCCCAGGAGATGACGACTTTGAGACAAGCGAACGTAATGCTTCTAAAATATTTTCTAACTCTTTAAATATATCTCCTTTAAGTACATTGTCTGATTGTTCTTTGATTAAACCGGCATCAAAAATTTTGATTCTTTGCAGCAAACACCGAATCAAGCAAAATTAAACAAAACTTTCTCCGAAAATAACTAAATACCGCGTTCCATCAATGAGTTTTGATTATTTTACGTATTATTTCAATGTTTATATACTTGCGCCTTGTTCAAATTTGGCGCACGGCCATAACAGATGGTAAACCATATTTAAAATATTTCACATTATAGTACATTTTTGGATTCTTCTTAAAATTCTTGATATTTTTCATGTAGTACTTCCAATACCTAATTTCAACAGTTTTCAAGATATCAACAGTTGAAACGTGGCTGATTTTTAACTTTGATAGGCCACAAAATCTAACCAGCTCAAATTAGAGCAAAACGGTTCCCACATTCGCATCTTAATTTTTTATAAGCTATCGAATGACGCCAATTAAAAATTTGACTGGGCTAAGACGAGAATTTGCAAATCGTTTTGTAATTTGAGCCATTATTGTCGTGTATCAAGTTTGAATAAGTCTTTTTAGTTCTCCAGAACTTTTGACACGCCACTCAACGTGAATCAGTAGATTGCGTGAGGTGCAACAATGTATGTACACTATTAAACTGTTCCCCTGCAGTCTGTCTCTGTAGTCAGAAATTGAAGAGTTTCATTTGATGCGCAACTTATATTATTAGAAATAGGTATTCTAATTATTTGGTACGTTCTTGAATAGCTCCAGTGATCTGGTACGATGTTGATGAAATTGATAGAGTTTTTGAAAAAATTTGGGAAGCTTGGAATTTATAGACATTTAGAGTGCAGATGCTTACAGAATTAAATACAATCCATTTGCTAAAATGTTTGTAGTGGTTTCACTTTGACAGGATTACTTTCTTTATGAACATCAACGAGCTTCTTTACTGTTCCGCAATATTGCAAAACATCAACTTTCATGCTCTTAGAAGAACTCAACATTTCTCCATTTGTTGTCAGTCTCAGTGCTGTTAGCAACTGTTGTTTTTGACTTTCTACTAACCTTTTTCTTCAGTTCTGTATTATTTTTTTGTCCTCTCTGCAAGCTCTTTAAATATTTTTTTCACAATTTGTTAGTTTTTAATTTTGTTTTGTTATTTTTCCAGCAGTTGAAATCGAAAATGTTTGTTTACTTTGTCACCTTTAAAAAAATATATGTTTATACCTTGTAAATTGGTTATTACCGTTGATAAATTAATAAATACATAAATAAACGTGGAATACATTTTAATATGTAGTGGAATTTACCGTTTAGCTGTTACAATAAAAAGAAAATCAAAGTATTGTTTCGTTAATTCCATAATTCAAAATGTATTAATTGCTTGTTTTTGTTTTGCTTACTTCCAATTTTTTGGGCTCGTTCGATGTCGTTTGCAAATTTTCCGAATATTTTCCGAGCAGCCCGTATACTTTTTTGATGCAGTTGTAGATATGACGACCAGATTGATGCAAATCCACTTTCAGATCCAATTTTTCGAGAAGCATAGGCGGAACTGCGGCATAGCAAATCCAATCTTCAAAAAATCTCTGGAATTCATAGTTATGTTCGTCGTACATACAAGGTGAATTAACTCTAATTCAAGCTTATTCAATTGAAGGTATCGAATGAATAAGTCTGCAGGGAAGATTCTAAGACCATATATTATTAATCAAACATTCCAAAGACATATTGGTGAAAAGTATTTTATTGTCGACTGCCAACATATGTCTTACAAATGCTATATTCTGATTGGTTTATAATGATTATGTAGGTACAACTAGAAGTCAGCTGTAAATATATACCAATCAAAGTCGATTTACTCTTACACATTCTCTTTGAGCGGATGACGTTTGAGGGGATGTCAATCATACAAATATTAAGTAAGCTGTTATTGAAGGTGTTAAAGTATGTTCATAGATATAAGAAAGTGACTAACTGATACGAATTAAGGAAAGACCCGGGCAAGCTGTAAGAATGAAATATGGCCGAACAGGTCCGTACTTTGCTTAGAATTTAATTATTTAGGGTTTTGTTAGGAAATATACTAAACAATATTTATTTATTTATTTATGTATTTATGTTTAAATCTAAAATAAAATTACAAATTATTTTTATTACCTACTTAAATTACTTCAAATTATTCACATAACATATCAGTATCACTATCGCTATCATCGCCTGTTCTAATTATTATTTGTTCTATACTATTTGGAATATGGATATACGATTATCCTGCTTTTTCTATATGTTTAACAGAATTTGCCCAACTTTGTGGAGGGATGTTAAAAACTTCGGTTTCAATAAGTTTGAGGACATTGGAGTTAACACGGGGAAAATATTGTTAGATTGTCATTGGCAGATTTCAGTTGGTGCCAAACATGTTCAATGGGATTAAATATACAGTGGTAAGGTGAAAGCCTTAAAACTGTTTTGGATGTTACTTCTGTGTCACACGAGGAAGGGGTTTTAGTCAACTGTCTACTGTGATAACTTGCATTGTCCATTACAATTTCGCTATTAGCAGGAATGTTTGGAACTAGTTTGTTTTTAAACCAACTTTCAAATATATCATGGTAATCCAGAGAAGAATCTTTAATATTTTTCGCAGACAGAGAAAGTGCATTTGGAATCCAACCATCTTTAAAACCACCATGCAAAATAGTGATTCTTTTACCTCTTTTTGATGGCGCGTTTGTTTTACACTTATCAGTTGAGCCAACCCAACCCTTTTCCGGGCTATCATAAGTGTCGAACCAGATTTCACCCAAGTAAATAATTGGTCTTTGTTGTTCTCTGTAAATCCTATTTTTTTTATAGATATTCCAGTAGCCATTTCTAAAAGATTCCATTAAAACTTGCCGTTTGTCAATGTTTTTAAATCTAAAACCTATGTGTTGAATACACTTCCATAAGGTAGTTCTGCCACATTTAACACCGGTTTCATCTTTTTCAAGCCTCCTAATTAAGATATCTAATGTAGGCACGCTTTGTTCCTCGTATAACTGGTAAATTTTACGCCGTATTATATCTTGATCACGTTCATCTACACTCGAGAAAATGTCAGCATCGCTTCTTTTTTCCTCCCTGAAATGGGATTATTCACAATTTTCCATACAGTTGATGTTGGAATTTTCGTCCATGTGGCCGTTTCTTCTAAAGATGCTTGCTTGTTGGCACCACGTTCAATGAGAGTCAAGTACTCATTGTTTATAACTTCCTTAGTCTCAATAGAATAGTGTTTTCTACATTTGGGCGGGAGCATCTCCTGAGGTACACTAGACTCGCACATATTTTGCATAATTCGCACACGATTCAACGCACGCTGTATTACACACGAAATAAGAATGATTACTAATAAACTTAAACTAAGTAGTATACCAAACCAAAAAATATTAAACACAGGTATAAAATTATTTTCTATAACGGACCACAATTTTACGTGATTTTTAATTCCGAAACATTAAGTAATAATCTTATTGCATTGTATGTTAATGACCACCCTTAGATAATGCCATTCAATGAACAGATCATACTCATCACTATGTTGTTATCTTAACATAACGGACTCAGGTCATATTAATAGTAAATGTTGCATCAAATGGGTGACTGTCCTAAGAGATCAATTCTGCTATTTCGTGTTCGTGACGCATAGCCTACTGAAAGATCCTGTCCTATTGGTCCTTGAATCCACATCGCGCCTGAAGCATAATTACTTACGGTGGTTAAATTAAATGTCTTGTAAAAATCAGCATATTGGAGTATGTCGATTTTTGGAAATTTCAAACCATTCTAAAAATTCTTGGGTATTGGAATATTTGGTCCCTTTTTAAGACATTTAATGAGAGCTTTAGATATTTCAGTAAAATTATTGATTCATTTTCTATAATATCCTAATAATGCAAGGAATCCTCTTATTTATTTCGTTGTTGTTGCTATGGGGTAATTTTGGATTGCAAATCTTTTGTTGGGATTTGCCTTAACATAATCTGGGGTGCCTATATGTTCACGTTGCAAAAACTCTTAATCGCTGAAATACCTTTTTGAGATTATCGACGTGCTTTTGCAGTAACGTAGAAAACAATTGTCGTTTTGTATTCCTCTGAGAATTGAGTCCATAACCCGCTGAAAATTCACCGGGACGTTTTTTAATCCAAACTGCATTCTCACAGTGTCCATTTTCGGAAGCGAGATCTAAGGTTGTGCAGTACTGAAACTTAGCAAGTTTATCTAGGAGGTCAGTAATATTTGGCAATGGATATTTATCATTGATAGTTTTTCATTTAGCTTCCTATAGTCCACTACCACTCTCCATTTTTGTTTTCCGGGCGCGTCTTTCTTTTTTGGAACCACCCATGTGGGGCTAGACCAAGAGCTGTTACTCTAATTATTTTTTGGTCCCACATTTTCTTAATTTGAGTTTCCACTTTCTGCTTATGGATAAATAGTATCTATGTGATTTAGTGTAAACTGCTATATATCGTCCGTTGTTTTAATACAATACTTCACCTTGCTTGAAAACGTAAGAGGTGAGACTTCTTAAAACACATCAGGGTACTCCTCACCTAGATTAAGTATTGCAGTTTTTCTTCTAAATTTAGGTGATCTAGACGAATATTGGATAGGTGTAATTTATTATTAGCTATTTCAAAATTATTTAAGATTTTCGATATCCTTCGTAAAAAAATGTTTGACAGAAATCGGTTGAGAAAAATCCGAGGTTATTAGGTCACAAGAATTGTTCAGAATATTTTACGATTGTAAGACATTGAGGTATTTTTGAAGTAATTTGAGATTATCGAGACGTATTAGGCCATTAAAGACATTGTGAAATTGAAAAAGATAGAATTTTAAATTTTGATATTTTGGCACTTGGGAGGCTGGGACTAAAGTACAATGTCGATGAGCAGATTTTTGGAATTCTGTAGTTACGATGAATGGATCATAAAAAATGCAATTCGGATATTTTTTTTTTCAATATTTGGATTTAGAAAAGATTTAGTTGATCCAAAGTCTATTTGCAGTTTGATATTATGTTCTAGAATATTTATATAAGACATTTCACTAGAATTGATCACGTTTAAAGATATTACTAAGTTTGGTTTTGATCTGGAAGCTTTATTTGAAAAATTATGGAATCTTCGTAGGATTCAGTTAAGTTATTATCTGAATTTTGGAAAACCGGCGATTCTGTGTGGTAAGTAGGGTCTACCGAACACAGCAGAATTGGTAGGAATTTTTTGGTGTCTTACTATTCAAGTTCGGTCTTATATTTATTAGCTGTGATGAAAAAATTAAAAAATAGGCCTAGGTGTGGAATTATAACGTGGAATATTTGGATTGAATTGATAGTAATTTGGTCTAACTTGGGGGTTTTGATGATCAAACATTGAAATTGTGGTTGGGTAATTTCAAATTTTGGGTTGGTTGATTTAGAGAAAGTTTTGACATATTCTGAAAATAACTAATGTTTTGTTCTGCTCTTACGAATTGTAACGCTCCCGCCAAGGTCTTGGGACGCATACATCGAATAGTTGTCCCTAAAGGTACTTTGAGCCCCGTTCAACAACACACACCGTGCTCGATGGCCGACAAATATCTTACTAACGGAACTACAATGAATGGACATAATATTAAAAGCGGCGCATCGGTGCAGCTTCTCCAGCGTCAGCATTCCTAGACTTAGGTGATGACATAACTCTGGCAAATAACGATTATTTTGTGTGAAATTTTCAGATTTTATAAATTCTAATTATACAAATTTCAAAAATAATTATAAAAAAGACTATAAATATTTTTTAAGCAATTCTCTTAAAATAATTTTAAATTTTAAAACATTCTTTACAAACATTTGTATTTACCTTTTTCATTGAACTTTTGAAACCAATGAGATAATGAACTTTATTCCATCGTGTATTCACCTTGTACATACCGTGAAACTATGCAAACAAAGCTTCATTTGTTTTGGCTGTCACCAATTTTTCTCCACAGTGTTTCGTGCAGTTCTTGAAAATATCTAAGTTTACACTTGCGCTCCTATTCCTGGATAGGGATTTTCATTTAAACAATCAAGAGGAACAATACGATTGCGATGTTGGTTGTCGAGTTTATCAACAGTCCCGTTCTGACGAAGAACGACAAAGAATTATCCAAAAGAGTAATAAATTCAACTAGCTAATAAATCCAGCAGGTCTAAATAGCTTTGAACGATAGATCACCACTACATTACCCAACGCTGACATAGATTCATTTGTTACGATATCAAAAAACTAGGTAACATATGGATGTGCACAATAAACGAAGCCCAAGATTGACACGGTCAATAAAACAAAGGAAGAAAAACTAAGCAATGAAATCAGAAAAAAGAGGCATCCGACGTGAGAGCAGGAGCTTTTTAGACACAACCAAATCAAGATATCATATAGAACAGGGGTATAGAAGTTCTGCATAGAAAACTTGAAAATTGAAAAAGACAAATAATAAAATTAAAAAATGCACAGGGTCACACATATATAATCAGAAAAAAATATTCTAAATATAACAAAAAAGTGGAAAAAAACGATTACTCGAATGGAGATCCAGATAAAGTCCAGCCAGAACAATTGCTCAGTTACATCACAGCATGATATCTTATCTAATTCATTAATGGATGCCGTAAATTGACACAGGAATTGTGTCTGTCGATTTGAAATCCGTGTCAGAAGCCGCGTCAAGCTCAAAATTTTTATATTTAGCGGATAATTAAATCATTTCAGAATGTCCCAAAGATTTGGTGAAAAAGAGCAAGCCCTTATTTTAAAACTAGATCACTAGAGAAAAAATACGGGGAAACCGCTTTAACCCTTAAACACTGTTCACAATATAAATATTTATTATCCTCATACTTGAAACGACCTCATTTTTATGAACGAGCAATTAAAGTGTCTGAAAATTAAATAGGTACTTATTATGTCTTATTGTAGCGTGTTGCCGATGTGTTAGATATTTTTCTAAGGTCACGAACATAAACTTCAGACCATTCATTTCGCAGGACACGGAACACTCCTTTATAACGTACACTAGCACAGCATACAGATACGAATTTATGCTATGTACGCAGCAGGTATGAAAAAAAATTGAAACTTTCCTTTTTTCCAAATGAATAATATAATTTGCGGCACTGCTTCTTTATGGCTAAAGTCTATATAACTTTTTCGTCGCTTTTGGATCGAAAAAAATCATTAATTTTAATAATTCCTTTTTCTTCTTTCATGTCACAGTACACGAATAATATATTTCAGAGGGCTCGTTAATTGATGGATTAAAAAAGATGAAAGTGTGTTGGAAAAAATGAAGTATTGCAAGTTGGAAACGTCTGATGAACGACTCGAAAAACCAGAATTCATTCAATACAGTATTTTTCGACAAGACTAGGATATAAAAAAGAGCGTCTTGAAAAAGTTGGCAAGACGATTCTCTACAAACAGTGCGTAAAAATATGGTGAACGAGTTAGCTATATCATTTTACAAAGTGGCTCTAAAAATGGCTTTGTGGAATATTTTGCTGCAGCACTGAAAATTTACATTTCCTTTTTTTATGGGAGAAGTACACTTTTTATAACCTACGAACAGAGATAAAAGTTTCAGTTTTGTACCCGGGGAAACTCTCGTTTCCTCAATGCTTTGGAAAAAACTAACTTATTTTTTTTACTTTAAAAGGTAGTTCAGTCAACAGCTGTTGCCCAATCTTAGTGAACCTTCATTAATAAAAATGAGCCATACTGCGGACTGTGGACTTGCCTAATCAAAGGTGGATCAAGGAATCTCTCGTCAAGTGGCTGCAAAAGAGGAATATTCCATTTCAGCAAGGTTTAATGAAAAATCGGCTATGGATATTAGTTAAGCAACACTTTCCAAAAAAACTGCCTAGGTAGTTCCTAAGTATTTTTCTTTGAATATGTCAAAATATATTCTTTTAAGAATGAACAAGTTAGGATTGGAAAATGGCCCTCGCCTTTTGCGGCTTCCGACTTATCATTGCCAATTTAATGAGATAGAGATAGTTTGGTCAGATTGTAAACTGTAATATGATGCCAAAATAGTTTCCTTCAGTTTCGTAACATCTGATGCTGTACTGTATTTATGGACTGAAGCACCTGCTCAAGTAAAATAATAATACTTCTGATGGAGTATTCGTAACACTTTGTTTCATATTTCGCCAGAAAAATGGAAGACCTATTGTAGGCATACAGACCGCCTGAAATGTAAGGCTTGGAACAGGGATAAGTTGATCGATGCATCTATGCATCTGCCAGTTGTTATCGATATGCATGAATCAGACTTAAGGGTTGTAGTTGTTCTATCGTAACCAGAGATACTAATTGCTACAGTTGATAATTGAGGGGAAGATTGAGAGAAAGAGAGAATTCATACAGTATACGGGATTGAAAATAATGGAAGGACTAACACATACAATATAAAATAAAAAATAATGGACAAATGCGGCAGAAGAAAAAGAAGTTGTAGTCTAAAATGTCTCAAACCTGGAAACTTCTAATACATTTATTGCAAACTATGAACCTTAAAATTATCTGGAGAAAACGTATTTGGGAAAAACGCACACCACTATTCGATTAAAGCTCTATTCTAAGCACTAATATTACCTGATTTATGTGAGACACGTGGATCAACAACTTGACAGGTCCCAAAAACACAAAATGCCTCGCGTGATGGTCTAGCAGAAAACCTAGATGTTTATTCAAGTTATCTTCGTCGCCCTACAAGGCAAAATATTTTTTATTGTTCGCTTTATTGGGAAGAAAGGTCCCATACTTCAACCATGTGAACGAAATATTTCGAGTAATAAAGGAAGAAACCGCTCAGCTTTTCTATGCAGTAAGTTTCGTTACATTTCTTAATGATATTTTCAAATACGTCTTTGGCATCATCGCAGGATTGGAAATAGTGCTCGCCAACATAAATAATCCGGTGCAAGTAAGTAGCCTAGAAATATTTTTGACGTAACGGATAGACTACAACTACTGCGCAATATTGATCCGTAGGATAGTCGAATGTTAGGGGAAGTTTGCGCCATTTTTAATTGCAAATAAGCTCACGTGATACCTAATTTTAAACGTCTTTTCACGTTCTATTCGCATACCAATTTTGAAAACACTTGATTTGACAATTTTGCAAGACAGTCAAATGAATAATGCTTGCAAATGTTTTATTACATTATTACGAAAACATGTAGATTTTCATCGAGCCCAACATCTTACATTTTGTCTGTTTATTTTTCCATGAAAATAAAATGTTGATTCGTTACTAAAACGTACGTGCTGGCCATAGTCTCGAACCTGAATAATTAGACGATTCGACGACATAAATTGTTTCTCACGAATAATTTTTGGTGTGGACAGTGATGCGCTAATGCATTTAGGTACCGATTCGTATGATTTTTTTTTTATGAAATGACTTAAGATTAAGACTGGTTTTCGGATTTATTGTGGATTATATTACAAATAGTAGTAATGGAGATAGGATGGCAGAAATTTGCAGAATCATTTAAGGAATGGACTTGTTTACTTGACCGTTTTTCTTAATTATTTACAAATCTTCTGGATTCCCCCTTGCGTTGATTATTGATGAATCGAACTTGCTGACGCTTCTCCAATCATCCCGTTAACTTCTTCAGAGCTTAACTGAAACTGGCTCTGTACCTGCATATATATTGTTTGAAGGGGGTGGAGCTAAAGGAAGAGCACGAACATTGTCTTAGATGACCGATTCTCATATTGGTGAAAGGTAAAGACGTGCGTCACGGTTAAGATTGTTTGGTTATTTAAAGACTTCTATAGGTTCTCGGATTTTTCTTTGGTAGAAGAATTGATTATATGCAAGATTTTAGCTCCGTCCCCTCAAACAATATATAAGCAAGTACAGAGTTGAATGAGAGCCAATTTCAACTAAGCTCTGAGCCAGGAGGATGATTGGCGAAAAATCAGCAAGTTCGATATAGCCTACGCAGGAGAAATCCAGAAGTTTTGTAAAAAGTAAAAGTATCATTCAGGCAAGCTTACATTACTACAGGAGCAGCGCAACTCAAATCCTTTTTTTATCGTCAGCTACTGTTTAGTGATAAAGTCACGTTTTGTTTAAATGGTAAGGTAAATAAACAAAATTATAAGGATTGGAGTACACTTCCCAAATCATCTATAACATCCACAAAAAATAAATGTTTGGGCGGAAATTTTGAATAAAAAAAATATTGGAATTTATTTCTTCCATTGAAATCTTATTAATACCAGATATTTGCAATTTCTTCAAAACGCCTTAATTCCTACTCTCGCATTTTCATTCTCAAATCCAAATCAGCCTGGTTTGATAGATAGATTGATTTCAACAGGATGGGGTTCTGCCCTATTTTGCTCGATAAGTGCGTGAATATTTAAATACGGTATTTCCCGGACTGCGGATTTTTAGACGGGGATTAATAGAATGGCCTGCAAGATATCTCAGGTATTATACTCCACTGGATTTGTTCCTCTGGCGATATTTAAAATCAAAAATCGAAATCCAATCCTTGAATTTGTTCAACTCTATAAACTCTCTACAAAATAATTTTTGAGAAACCTCGAAACAGTGTAATATTTTCAAAGAAAATTAAATAGGCCGCTGCAACAGCCAAAACTTCTGGATATCTCCTGCGTCCATAGAATCCATAGAAAACCCTCAAACCCGTATTGAATATATAAACATGTTTCTGTGACGCGAAGAGAACTACGCAATTTTAAAATGAATAGTGCAGCACTCTTAATGCAAGTTTCGAAAAAAAGAAAAAAAAACGACTTTGATGGCATACTGATCTTTTCAAGAAAATACATAGCACTGAGCTAGTATTAGATTTGAAGTCTGTTTCTTTTGATATGCATCGATGAGCTAATTCAAGTTATTTTGTGGCCACTCCATTACGGAAGCGTACGGAAAACAACGAACCTCTTTTATCTCCGTCCCAACTGCGGCAAGAACCTACAAAGGGGAGCGTCGAAAAACCGACAGGAGACGGACCGAGGCGGTTTGTTGCAAACCAGTACTAATATAAAGATATAATCTTTTATATTATTTATTATTATATATATAATATCATTATATTATATATTATAATTACATTAAAAAATCAATTACATTAAATATATACAATAGATTTATAGCTAGGAATAATTACATTTTTATTCTAAATGTCTAAATCTAACTCTGTTTCACAATCACAGTCGTCATTGAGATTAATTATAAGAGAATATATGTTGTTTTTTAGAGAAATGTAAGAGTCATCGATTTTTATAATCTGCTGTACTGAATTTTTCCAGCTTTCAAGTCGTATGCTATTAATTACATTTTTTATCAAATTTATAACACTGGGGCTTAAAGTACGAGTAACATTTTCTATTCTGACCTTTGATTTACTTGGTTCCACAAATGTTCTATCGAGTTAAACATTCAATGATATGGAGGAAAAGGTAAAACAATTCAGTCAAATTATCGCGTACTTACTATTTTTAATTGCATATGAATTTTGGACATCCCCAAGTTGCGTTTTTTTGTAATTGAATTCAAAATAAATATCATTTTCCAACAAATATTCCTGGATTTCAGTTGTTCAACTTGATGAGGCTGGTGCGTAGCAGGCGACTATGATAGCTTGCGTTATCTTTGACAATAACACTGTTATTGGGAATATTTTTTAAAAGATTATTTGAAAATCAATTTTAAAAAAGTTCGGCACTTGCATTCTCGTGATCATCCAAGAATATTCTTTGCAGCGTATATTATAGTGATGAGTGGCCTTTATTTGAAGGTGCTTTTATCTGAAATCTTTGAGTGGAATCAACCAATCCTTTGGATACAGTGTCATGTGTATAGAACCATGTTTCACGAAGTTAAATTATGGATCTGTTGTCCAATCAATATCTTTAATTTCTTGAAGGTGATTAAATATTTTGCTGTACTTAAAAAATTATATTGGTTTCATCTTCTAGCTTCTTTTTCAAGTTATCCAATGTAGGAACAACTTCGCTTTGATAAAGACAATATATTTTCCTTCTTAGTATACTATACGTTGAGTTTGAAAATCACTACGCTTATTCTTTTTTTCAATTCTCCACTATCCACTCCCTTATCGATGATATTGGCGTTTTTGTAAATAGACAGGTTTCTTTTAAAGCTTCTTATCCTGATTAAAGTTTCATACACATTTTTCACAACCTGTTTTGCATCAAGCGACAAATGATTTCGACGCTACATTGTTATATTCTAGTAAAAAATTACTTTTTTTAAACGCACAGTAAAAACAATTATTCAACACTGTCACAAATGATCAAAACTCAAGAAATATATCAGAAACTAAGAAATGTAACTGGCCCACCCCTCACTCAATTAAGATTTTTTTTTGTTAATGACTTTATCCAATAATAATAGGTATCGTTAACTTTTAATATTTATTTTGAATTATGTTACAAAAACTCGCAACTCTTGGAAGTCATAAATTCATATACAATAAAAAACAGTATGTATGCGATAATTTGGCTGAACATGCTGGGCATACTGTTTTACGTCTTCCTCAATATCATTGCATGTTTAACCTCATAGAGCATTTGTAGAGCGAAGTAATATCAAAGGTCAGAGCAGAAAATGTTACTCCTGCTTTAAGTTCCAATGTCATAAATTGGACAAAACATGTAATTAGTAACATACCAATTGACAGCTGGAAAAATTCAATACAGCACTTTATCAAAATTGGCAAAACAACATAAATCCTATTATAAATAATCTCAATGACGACTCTGATGTGAAACAAAATTATATTTAGCCATTTAGAATAAAAATGTAATTATGTATAGATATTCCTAGCTATGAGTTAAAAGTTTATTGTTTTTTCTTAGAATAATTTAATCAGATTATACCCACCTAAATAAACAAAAAAAAAAAACATTATTAGAAAACCCTTTGAGAGTCCGTCCCTAATGTTCTGTTATTAATTACCTACCGGAACCGAGTTTTACTGCTGTATGCAGGTAACTTCTATAATTAGGGGAACAACCAACACGATGAAGATTGAAACAGACTATACTTACTAAAGTCGCTACTCTTGAACTCTTTCAACATTATTTGAGATATATTGAAATTCGAGAATCTAGAACTAAACTTAATTGAAAAATGCTTGCCGGGACCATATTTTTCTTATAACGGTCAAATTTTTGAAGAAACTTCCGATCCTAAATTATCAAAAGTCACAGCAGATATATTTATGGACACTGATGATAATCCCTACGAGATTTTCTTAGCCATTTAAACTTTATACACCATAACATACGTTTTACTACTGAATTAGACACTAATAATAATCTCCCATTCTCAGATATTCTCATCTATAGAAAATCACACCTAACATTGGGACATTCTGTTTACAGGAAACGTACGCAAACTAACCATAATGAATTGTTAAATCACCCATCCAACCCAAAAATCGTCGGTTATCAACTCTTTTATTTACAGAATTAAAACACCTTATACCTGTTCTTCTCTACTTGACCACAACTTTTCAAAGACAATGAGCCCGAAATCATTTGTCACTGTCAAAACATCACCGACCATATATCAAAAGTTCTTAAGAAATATAACCTCAAAACCAAATTTACCACTTGTCCAAAAATCTCTCAACATCTTTGATCAATCAGGTCGATCGACTCAGGTGTTTACCTTTCTTCAATATGGGAACCAGTCATTCTTTAGATCCGCCTCCCCCATAAACTACAGGATGATTGACGAAACGACATCATGTTCGATTCATCGACAACCGACGCAGGAATCCAGAAGTTTTGTAAATAGGGGTAGCCTACTTATTAGAACCGGCCAGCCGGTAACTCACTTACCCTGTTGGCAATTTTCAGATTTTCCAGTAATATTTGGTACATGGAATGCCTTTCCGGCTCATTGACTTCGACCGCATGCTCTTGCTTCAATCGAATTTTAGGGTCGTTTACGCGTGTCATTTTTACATTTAGATGGTTTGGTTGCGACAGTGATGTTAGCGTTCGCCGTTGCTAGGGAAGAGTGTGATCGAAAACCACTTCGCGCAACGCAAAGCGTAATTCGCAACGTTACAGACACGCACGTCAAAGACAAGTTGTTTGTTGTTCTTTAAAGTTGTTGAGTAGCGGACGTAAAAAACTGAGTCTGTCTCTTACAACTGTATTTTGCTTCGTGTACAAAAACAAAACAATAATTGAACAAGGAAACTCTCCTCTAGAATTGGTTTTCAATGTTGATGACACGAAAAAAGAACACCAGGATTTAAAAAGCAAGCGGAGATTTCAAATTAAAATGACAATAAGTTTACCACTCGAAAATCCAAGGGCGATGAAATCAACTTTACCTGTAATTTGGAAGTCTAATAAAAAATCATCAAACTCGTCAAATCATAACTAACTAAAACTATGAAATTTTTCCAGGATTGGTTCACTGAAAATTTCTGTCCGTCTGTTAAATACTATTACGAAAATAAAAAACTTAAACAAAGGGTAGTCCTACTAATTGATAATGCTCCAAGCCACCAAACAAATTTAACAGACTTAACAACATGCATTTCAGTCGAAGTGGTTTTCTTGTCGTCTACGGTCCCTCGTCCACGGAGCGACTGGTTCCTGACTGTTTTAATACACGGACGGATAGACAGACTAACTTGAAACTGTTAAAAAACATGCAAACAAGAAAAACATTAACTGTTAAAAATACGTGAAAAATACGTGGAAAGCCTTGAAAAGGACCTACAAGAACAAACACAAAATTAAAAGATTCTCAGAGTAGTGGAAAACGTGAATATTGGGAATATTTTTTACTAATGGATAACATGCTGAGCAAAAGGCAGTGACAGTTACTATATTATATATATATATATATATATATATATATATATATATATATATATATATATATATATATATATATATATATATATATATATATATATATATATATATATATATATATATATATATATATATATATATATATATATATATATATATATATATATAATATAGTATAGTGTGTCTCAATCTTCATCGTGTTGGCTTTCGACGGACCCTCCCTAACAAAACTTTAACGATGTTATTACCTATTGGGTAAAGCCATTAACAAAAAATGTGTAAAGGTAAAGATCTGAGTCGCGGTTAAGATTTCTTTCCTAGAAGAATTGATTACATGCATCGAATAAAATTTCGTGCCTGATTTTGTGATTGTGTTCGGCAACTGCTGATGAGTTTATTTGTTGTAGTCCAAGTAATTTGAGCCTAGTTGATATCTTTCATCCGGTCTCTCAAATGCATTCTTTGCCGCAAATGCTGTAAGAGAGGTTTGGATAAGTGGTAAAACTGGTTTTGACGTTATATTTCCTTAAGAATTATTGATATGTGGTCAGTGATGTTTTGACAATACTGCCAAGTGTTGGGTTGCTTTCGAACTAATTATCTTTGCAAGAAAATGCAATATTTGATATTGATAATCGTTCCACAGCATATAATTTAAGAGATTATTTAAAACATTACTTTTTGACCCCTCGTGCACAACTTCGATGGCAATGGAAATATATAACTCGAAAATAAAAATTTCCTCACATTTGAATTTGTTACCTATTTCGACAAAAGTAAAACTTGTTTTACGCAAAAATGTGTTTTTTTTTCTGGAAACAAAAACAACATTTGATTGTAAAACGTGTCGTGTTTAAATTCTTTTTTTTTGGGGTCTCTCAAATGTCAAATGTCTTTCAATTTATGGTAGGTCGGGCTTTCTAGATTATAGAAGTCATCTGCCGATGGCAATAAAACTCGGGCTCGGTAGGTATTAAAGAACAGAACATTAGGGACGGACTCTCGAAGGTTTTGGTAATAACTTCTTTTTGTTTATTTAGGTGGGTATAATATTATTTAATTACACTAAGAAAAAACAATGACATAATTCTGTTTCACTCTCAAAATCATCATTGAGATTAATTACTATTATTATAATTAATCTAACTAACTGATTTATGTTGTTTTTTTTATAAAAATGTAGGAGTCCTCAATTTTTATAATGTGCTGTACTTACATTTTTCGTCAAATTTATAACACTGGGACTTAAAGTAAGAGTTACATTTTCTATACTGACCTTTGAGTTTACAATGATATGGAGGAAGACGTACAATAGTATGTATGCCCATCCGGTTCAGCCAAATTATCAGTTTTTAATTGCATATGAATTTATGACTTTAAAAAGTTTTTTGTAACGGAATTCAAAATAAATATCATTTTCTAACAAATATTCCTGGATTTCAGTTTTTGAACTTGATGAGGTTGGTGCTTTGCGTAGCGTGGTAGCTTGCATTATCCATGACAATAACACTGTTATTGGGAATATTTTTCGAAAGATTGTTTTGAGACAAATTTTCAAAAAGTTCATTCAGTTCTTCAGTTGTATCTCCATGATAATCCAAACTAGAATCCTTAATATTCCTTGTAGCCAACAGCACCCCATTTGGGCAAATCCGTCTTTTGAGTCAGTGTTCCTTATCAACGATATTGACATTTTTGTCAGTAGACAGGATTCTTTTAAAGCTTTTAACAACCTGTTTTCCATCAAGCGACAAATGATTTCGACGCGACATTGTTTTATTCTAGTAAAATAATTTTTTCGAAACGCACAGTAAAAACGATTATAACACTTTTTACAAAACTTCTAGATTCCTCCTGCGTAGGTTTTTGCTGAGTCGAACTTGCTTTCATTTCGATAATCATCCTGTTGGTTTCTTCAGAGCTTGACTAAATCTGTTTCAGTCTCAGTAAGTTTCAGACAGCGAAACGTCAGCAAGTTCGACTCAGCAAAAACCGACGCAGGAGGAATCCAGAAGTTTTGTAAAAAGTATTACAGTAGCCTCTGGAAGTTTCTTTGAAAGATTATTGAACACTTCCACAAATGGTCTACACTCAAAAAATATATCAAAAATTAAGAAATGTACCTGTCCCACCCCTGCCTTTTCTCTCAAGAAAAAACACATTTTTTGTTAATGGCTTTACCCAATAGGTAATAACATCGTTAAAGTTTTGTTAGGGAGGGTCCGTCGAAAGCCAACACGATGAAGATTGAGACACACTATACTATATTATATATATATATATATATATATATATATATATATATATATATATATATATATATATATATATATATATATATATATATATATATATATATATATATATATATATATATATATATATATATATATATATATATATATATATATATATATATATATATATATATATATATATATATATATATATATATATATATATATATATATATATATATATATATATATATATATATATATATATATATATATATATATATATATATATATATATATATATATAATATAGTATAGTGTGTCTCAATCTTCATCGTGTTGGCTTTCGACGGACCCTCCCTAACAAAACTTTAACGATGTTATTACCTATTGGGTAAAGCCATTAACAAAAAATGTGTTTTTTCTTGAGAGAAAAGGCAGGGGTGGGACAGGTACATTTCTTAATTTTTGATATATTTTTTGAGTGTAGACCATTTGTGGAAGTGTTCAATAATCTTTCAAAGAAACTTCCAGAGGCTACTGTAATACTTTTTACAAAACTTCTGGATTCCTCCTGCGTCGGTTTTTGCTGAGTCGAACTTGCTGACGTTTCGCTGTCTGAAACTTACTGAGACTGAAACAGATTTAGTCAAGCTCTGAAGAAACCAACAGGATGATTATCGAAATGAAAGCAAGTTCGACTCAGCAAAAACCTACGCAGGAGGAATCTAGAAGTTTTGTAAAAAGTGTTATAATCGTTTTTACTGTGCGTTTCGAAAAAATTATTTTACTAGAATAAAACAATGTCGCGTCGAAATCATTTGTCGCTTGATGGAAAACAGGTTGTTAAAAGCTTTAAAAGAATCCTGTCTACTGACAAAAATGTCAATATCGTTGATAAGGAACACTGACTCAAAAGACGGATTTGCCCAAATGGGGTGCTGTTGGCTACAAGGAATATTAAGGATTCTAGTTTGGATTATCATGGAGATACAACTGAAGAACTGAATGAACTTTTTGAAAATTTGTCTCAAAACAATCTTTCGAAAAATATTCCCAATAACAGTGTTATTGTCATGGATAATGCAAGCTACCACGCTACGCAAAGCACCAACCTCATCAAGTTCAAAAACTGAAATCCAGGAATATTTGTTAGAAAATGATATTTATTTTGAATTCCGTTACAAAAAACTTTTTAAAGTCATAAATTCATATGCAATTAAAAACTGATAATTTGGCTGAACCGGATGGGCATACATACTATTGTACGTCTTCCTCCATATCATTGTAAACTCAAAGGTCAGTATAGAAAATGTAACTCTTACTTTAAGTCCCAGTGTTATAAATTTGACGAAAAATGTAAGTACAGCACATTATAAAAATTGAGGACTCCTACATTTTTATAAAAAAAACAACATAAATCCAATAGGATTCAAGTTAGTTAGATTAATTATAATAATAGTAATTAATCTCAATGATGATTTTGAGAGTGAAACAGAATTATGTCATTGTTTTTTCTTAGTGTAATTAAATAATATTATACCCACCTAAATAAACAAAAAGAAGTTATTACCAAAACCTTCGAGAGTCCGTCCCTAATGTTCTGTTCTTTAATACCTACCGAGCCCGAGTTTTATTGCCATCGGCAGATGACTTCTATAATCTAGAAAGCCCGACCTACCATAAATTGAAAGACATTTGACATTTGAGAGACCCCAAAAAAAAAGAATTTAAACACGACACGTTTTACAATCAAATGTTGTTTTTGTTTCCAGAAAAAAAAACACATTTTTGCGTAAAACAAGTTTTACTTTTGTCGAAATAGGTAACAAATTCAAATGTGAGGAAATTTTTATTTTCGAGTTATATATTTCCATTGCCATCGAAGTTGTGCACGAGGGGTCAAAAAGTAATGTTTTAA